TCATCCAAAATAGCAGGAACAAAAGGAACTTCAGGAGCCCTCTAATCATAGCCTAGAATGCTACCCATGTGCCGAGGTAGAAAACTCCATTGTGCTTTATCATGATATTTGGTTTTGACAAAGAACAAAACTTGGCATGTATCTAGTCTGTGGAAAAGATTTTTTTTTTGGGTTTTGTTTTAGTGTAGTAAGATGTAAATCATGAAATGAATTACCTGGCAGCTATAGTCTTCGAAGTTTGGTTCCATGTACAAATCAACGCCAATGTGATCCTTGAAGAATGTCTGGAAAACAGAAAATGGCATTCATACAAAGAGAAGACAGAAAAGTTCAGAAGAAAAAGGTTTTCAATATTTGTACTCCAAAATAATGTGATATCGACAGTGATAATGCAAATAAAAGTAGGCATCTCACACATCTAAATTATTCTAAAACGATCTTACAATGCCCACGATATACAAAACTTGAACAGACTTGAGTTGGCAGTTTGCATGTGTTGATACACATACCAAGTCATTTGCTCTCTTCCAAATATTTGCACTTCTCAACGAACACCTGACAGTTTCCATCACGTAATGTCCGTGAACTGTAAAATCTCAGTGAGTGAAGGATAAACAAAAAGTCGGAAGAAGAGATTGATACCCCGCTTGACAATGATTCTCCATTGGATAATGTCACACAATTCACCGAACATGGCCCCACCAGCCATTGGCTTGAAAGTGTTGTTGCTCTAGCTTCACATCCAATGTATTTAAAAGAGTCAATAAGCCAATCGCAGTACGTCAGAAGAAAACTCTCTCCGTCTCAGAATATAACAACTTTTAGGCTTTAGCTAGACGGAGGTAGTAACATTTACACCGATTCCTACTGTAAGTCTAAAAGGTACCAACAAATGAACAATGACAAAAAAAATGTCACTCGAGTGAACTCACCAACCATCATGGAAGCTAGTTGACCATTAGCAATTGGTACTACAAGAGCCTTTAAAAGAACAAGCAAGAGAGGGGGAATCAGCGATCGGAGTACTCGGACCTGAAATTTACAGAGAAGAGAGATTGATTTTATCTTCAAAAGGATAAGGGGGGCAAGCAGAGAGATTAGGGACATGAGAAAGTTATATACAGCTGATTGCTCGATCTCCAACGCACTCTTTCCCTTGACCATGGGGCGGTTGGCAACTTCAATCAGTCCAGTGTAGCCAGGTTTTTCAGAATCCCATCCAACCTCCTACAGCTTTACAGAGGATGAGAGAATTACCAGTGTACAAATAAGCAGAGCAGAAGGAGAATTGATCCAATGCACACCTGTACTGATCATGTCACGTTACATATATAAGCACATGTACATGTGACAAACTCTAATTGGGTCAGCCATACACAGGGAACATGCCATAAGGGCCTGTTTATCCCACCCCAAAATTTTACACCCTATCACATTAAATATAGACTAAAAAGATAACTAATTGCACAGATTGCGACTACTTTGCAAGTCGAATCTTTTAAGCCTAATTGCTCCATGATTTGACAATGTGGTGCTAGGCTTAATAAATTCATCTCACGGATACTGTAATTAGTTTTTTTTATTAGTGCCCAAACACCCCATGCGATACCTTATATAATACCCGACACGCCAAAACTTTATACCCCTGGATCTAAACACCCCTAAGAATACAACGTACACACGGTCCTAGTAGGCCTTAGAGGAACGCCTGTCTACACCCCCTGCCCGCGTCGCTCCCCACGTCGGGCGACTCAGGCAGAAACCCTAGCCGCAGCCACCATCCTTCTCCACCTCTCCCCTCTACCTCACCGCTGCCTGAGTGAGTGGCCGGCAAAGCCGACGGATCGCGAGGACGGCCGCGGCAGGGCTCACGGCGGCGACCTCCATAGATCCGGCGTGGAGGTTTCAAAGATGGAGGATGGCCGGAGCAATGCGGGCGTAGTCGAGGCCTGCGCGCGGGAGAGGGTGGTGCAGGCGCAGTCGGCCTGGCATGCGGACGACAATGACGGCCGGAGATGGAGGCGAGGAAGGAGGAGGCAGGCCACTGGGTGGCATGGCCGGCAGCGGCGGAGGCCAAAGGGGCGCTTGGAGGCGTGGCCGGCAGTGCGGAGTCCGGCGCAGCGCATGAAGATGCGACTGGCAGTTGGTGGGAGGCTGTCGCGGTGCGTGTAGGGTGAGCCGGTGTCGGGCGCAAGCCGGGCTGTGACTGGGGTGTTGGCCGGCGGAGGGGTGTTGGTGCGACAAGCCCACGTGCTGGAGGAGGTCGTCCGGGTGGCGGAGCTTTGGGATGGCAACGGTAGGGTGGGAGCTAATACGGCGGGCGAAAGCCTAGCTCGATTTTCGGGCCGACAATGACGATGTCTCCTGGCGCTGTGCTCCCCTGAGGACTTTGTTGAGCTACCATCTCTCCCTTCCCATCATGACTTTCCAGGTGAAAACCTAGTCCAAGGTGGACAGGCGACGGTGGCGCCTTTGGTGTCACAACCTTCGTGGAGGCGTTGCCTAGGAGGTCATGTTCCCTCGCCTTCACTGCCTTCTTCCTGGTTTGGCCTTAGGCGTTCTCTTGGTTTCGGCTCTAGGTTGGCTCAAGGATGAGCGGATCTTTCTTCTCACTCACCCTCACCCTCAAACCTTCCATGAGGGTGGCCGGGAGTCTGTGGTTGACCTTATTAATGAAGTTTGAAGTTGGTTTGAGGCGGGAGCGTCTGTGATCCCCTTTTAGAGCTAGCGGCGATCGGTCACACACAGCGGCGGCCAACTTGGTGCTAGTGCTTCTCCAGGTAGTGCGGTTGGAGCCTCTAGCATGTGGTGGAGTGGTCTTTTTCTTTTTTTCCTGATTGTGACATTCTTCGGTTATAATCTTGTAATTTTTTCTGCTATATCAATACGAATCTTCGTACTGACATGTGCGTGGATCGTTAGAAAAAAAAGAACGTACAAACGCACACGTTCACGTGTTCGCTAATAGAATTGCAGACATACACTATACAAATTATAGGTACTAATAAGAAATTTTGAGCTGATAGGGGAGTTAGGGAATAGCTATTAGTTTATCGACAAACTGATCAACAGCATTAATCAATCATCAATATGACATTGCTCGATTATTTGCAAGTAGTAGTAAGCATCTTCTTTTTCGGGAGGATATATAATCCTATCGCAACTCCCTTAATATTTCTGTTAGTAGTCACCCATGCTACTACCAAGCAAGCACTAGGAAGGGGCAACCATTGTTAAGCTGAAAATGGGAAGAAGAAGAAGAAGAAGAGTAGTTTGGGGTGATGGAGCTTGTCACCTCCACCATCTTGGCACGGAAGAAGGCGTGGAGGAAGTCGTCGGCGAAGGAGGGCTCGTACTCGCGGCCACCCTCCCCCGACGACGACGCCGTATCCGCCTGCACAAAGTGAAACAAATCAATCAAACAGCATTAGCAGCAGCAGCAGCAGTTTATTCGCATCTTGCCTATCAACGCAAGGGCGTATATCATTACTGACGGCGAGGAGCAGCGAAGCAAGGAGGTAGTAGGCCGCCGGCGGCGGCGGAGGCCCCGAGAAGAGGAGGAGGCGACAGGGAGCAGGACACGGAGGAGGCAGGGAGGAGACGGCGCCGCCATGGCTATGTGCAAAGACGCTCGCCGGTCAGCTATAATCGGTGACCGTTAAACAATATAGGAAAAAAATTATAACAATATATAATCGGTGACCGTTAAGTGATGTGAGAGTGGAAATTATAGGGGAGTGAAAATGGAATTTTGCAATCAGTTGGAGGATTCGATGTGACAGTGCCGCTAGGGTGCACGTGCAACACGTGGGGAGGGGGGGCAGTGGATCGAAGGATGTAAAAAAATTGAATATATATATATTCTTTTATCGAATTCGCAAGAAAATACCGATTTCGAGGAGAACTACTCAGATAGATCATCGTGGCTGTTTTAATTAGTGAGAGCATATGCTCTCATCTTGCTTTCTAGGAGAGCGATATCGAGCACATGTAACACTCTCTTCAGACAGTGACGTGAAAGTGAGAGCGGTGTCTCGCGTGGTAAGAGCGCGAGACCGACGTTTAATCGTACGCGTCGAAAAGAAGGGGAGAATCGGAAGGGAGATGGGACCCGCGACGGAGAGCAGATGAGGACAATCAGGTCCTCGCGGGCGGGCGCTCGTGTGGTTCGAGACGCCACACGATCGAATGCGGCCGCGCGTACGACGCTCGTGCGTTGCTTCGGCCGTCGGGCGGGTCCGCTTCTTGTTGGCAATAGCAGTCCAATGCCCAGCAGGCACGAGGATCTCAGGTTTCTCCTGGTCTTCGCATTTTGAGCTTGTCCTCTAATTTTTGTGATCTGTGAATCTCTTGATTTTTGGATTTGTGAAATTGAGAAGATGGACAAGGAAAGCACCAGTATCTTGGCAACAATCGATCAATAGTTTTTGGTTTGTCCCCCACCACAGGGAAGGTTCCACGGCCATGTGCAACAAATAACTTTTGTGTTCGACTTCTCTTTGCAAGTCGATTTTTCATCCGTCACGACGAAATCGATTCCGCGATGTTTGGTGTTTTCTTTGAAGTCGATTTCGTCTCACGCTGGAGATGCGTGCGCCGGCCTCGCGCCATGAACCCGCGATACCGTGGCCCCACGCTGGCCGGTCTCTCGCGGCTCTCCTACCGCGAGCCCACCGCTCTCGCGATCCCACACAGCGAGACAGCTTTGCGTCTTAAGTAAGGCTATTATACAGCTGATCTGTTAGTTATAAGGTTTTTTTTTTTATTAGATAGAGAGTTGATTCGTATCCCTTAATGTCAATATCATATGGTTTGACTTCTCGTCTTCTCTAACTATTAAAATTGAATTGGTGTAATTTAACTTCCTCTATTGTTTTAAGGGTGATTTTCGCTGGCCTGGCTAATGGGTGAGTCAGCGTGTGGGCCGTAATGGGCTTTTATGTGGGCCGGAATCCCTCTCAGGCCCATATCGTATGGGCTGCATGGTTTGCGAGACTATCTGGCCGTTCAATTCGATTTCGTTATAATTTTCAGGCTCCATTGAACAACAAACGGCCTCGGAAAAGGAACAAAAAAAATACTCAAAAAAAAGAACGGAAAACTATTTCACGACAAAATTTTCGTACAAATTTTTGCACTTGATCCGCGCCGTCACGTCAGGACGGGAAGATCCGTCTAAGCTCGTCGGAGGGATTGGCCAGCCAGCGGCAGTACATTCCGGCGGCGGCGGTGACGGCAGTGGCAGAGAGCGCGGCCAGTGCGCCGAAGTGCGAGGCGTCGCTGGCGACCACCGCCACGGCCATCATGGCGAGCTCGGCGAGGCTGGCGACGGCGATCTCCGTGGCGCCGATCAGCTTCGCCTTGCTCGCCGGGTTCCCGGTCTGCACCACCTGCAGCCCGATCGCGCTGTACGCCATGTGCCCCGCCCTCGACGCCACCTGCGCACGCCATGGAAATCAATTCTTGACAGGTTAAATTCTTGTAGCAATGGAGAATCCGAGATCGATCCTTCTCTTACGATCAATCCGAGGAAGGCGAAGAGCGCGCCGGCTCGCCGTGAGACGGCGCCGGTGAGGTAGACGACGACCGCGGCGCCGAGGAGCGCGCTCTGGGCGATCAGACCGGCCGCTCCGGCCTTGAGAATTCCGAGCTCCTTCACGAGCCTCGCCGTCGCGAACGTCGCGAGGATCCCCACCGCCCCCGACGAGCCGCCGAACGCGCCGATCACCGACGGCCTCACGCCTGCCCACACCACACACACACACCCCATTAACAAGATGAGCTTGATGAATGATGATGATGTCAGCAATGGTAACCATGCGCGCGCGTCATCTCACCCTGGTGGATGAGGAAGGTGGTCATGAGCGCGCCGGGGGCGAGGGCGACGTTGAAGCAGACGAACACGTAGGCGAGGCTCGCCGGGAGCACCGGCTGCCGCATGTACTCGCTCCAGCCATTCCTGACGGTAGCCACAGCCTCTTCCACTGTCAAAGATGAGGATTGATCAAACAATTCGAAAATCAGATTTTGGCAAAAAAAAAACAAAAAAAAAATTCTCCAATTTGAATATCTGATAGTGATCGATGAACTGTCGTAGAACTAGGCTGCAAGCTCAATGAATCACCGGTTTTTCGTATGCTGAAACTGGAAGTTTTTTCAGCGTGTGAGGTTGTATTTTCAGAGTGATCGAAGATGCCGTCAGCGAGCCGGTTCATCTCTCCACACAGGAAAATCTGCGAAATTAGAACCATAGATTTTCTTTTCCTGAACTGGTGAATGATAATGTACTAAATCTGCAAAATAATTTTCTGAATTTATGAATCTGTAGCTAGTGTACCAGCAGAGGCAGGGCACAGAGCGAGATGACGCAGGATAGCTTGATGCAGGTGAGTGGGTTGTTCTTGGAGAGCAGCAACGCGAAGATGGATGCTCCTACCGTCTGCAAATCACACGAAATTCATCACGAACACACGCATAGTACATGCATTTTTCATATTTCATAATCAAGAAAAGATGATTCAGATGCAGAAATTCTGAAATCCCAAACCTCGCAGAGGAGATCGACTCTGCTGAGCGTCGCGTTGGCCTTGGCGAGCGCCACCGGCCTGCCTGCCCCTGCTAGCTTCAACCACACGATCCATGGAGATTGGAGAAACATCGGAGAGAGGTTGAAGAAAGCAACGACGAGCTATATATGTAATCAATGGCAGGAGGTGGTTGGGAGCTTCGGTCACCTGCACGACGAAGTCCCGCTCCGCGATGATGCCGAGCGCGACGCAGGCGAGCCTGTCGACGGCGGTGGACGCCACCAGCACGGCGAACCACGGCCGCAGGAGCAGCGATGCCGCCGCCGCTCTGTGGACGGCGAACGCGTAGGTGATCGTCGCCACCGACACCAAATGCGCCGCGGTCTGGCACGACACGATGATGTTGATGACACTCTTCTTGAAGCAGAAATCTGACGTTGCTTTTTCGGATCATGGATAGTCACCTGAATTGCGGCGAGAGATCGGTAGGCGGGGATGCGTGGGAGCGAGCTGATGAGCTCGCCGACCAACGGGCCGGCGGCGAACACGACGAGCTAGCACGCAAAATTAAATCGGATTTCGTCAGAATGTCGCCATTAATTCGAACGCATATATTAGTTGGAGAGTCAGTGGTCGGCGTTCTGCACCTTGGTGAAGAAGCCGAGGACGGCGACGGGGAGGATGCTCGCCGGGTGGAGCACGGCGACGGCGGCCGGCCATGTGAAGTTCCAGAGCTGCTCCGTCGCGTTCCCGGCGAGGCAGGCCGCGTACAGCGCTGCGCGTCGAACACGATTCAGGAGAGATGCAACAATTGAGCTCCAGAGAAGCAGAATTCGTACCGTTCATGGCGGCTGGGTAAGCCGGAGTTTCTCCCAGGTGGTCATCCTCTCTGCAGCCTCCGTTGAGCTCATCCAGCAACGCGAAAGACGAAGCGGCGGAGGCCGGCGCCGGCGCCGGCGCGTGGTCCCCGAGCAAGCTCTGCTCCTCGGTCCGGAGGACTATACCCGAGGAGAGCTGAACAAACGGCAGTGCGCCTTCGCGTTCTTGGGTTACACCGGCGGAGAGGTCGTCTCCGGCGCCGGCAAGGGCGGTGCTGGAGGCCGAAGGAGCATGTTCGGAGTCGGAGGAGGAGCAGCTGGTGGCGAAGACGCGGCGCGACGTCAAGCGGCGGAGAGGAAAGGGGAAGGGCAGCACGGGAGGCGGCGCTACACGGCGACACGGGAGCCGGGAGAGGGCTGGTCCTGGTGGTGAGGTGGGAGGCGGCGAGAGGAGCTTGGACATGGACATGGAGGCGGGAGTGAGCTGATGAGCTGGAACGGATAGGGAGTTGGGGATGGATAGGGAAGAAGATTTATTTGGGCCGAGTATTATACTTCTATATTGGGCTGGGCCCTCCTTACAGCCCAGCACGAATATGGATGAGCTATAATATGTTGGAAAAAGTGCACCGAAGGTCCCTCAACTTGTCATCGAGTTACAAAATCATCCCCCAACCACAAAACCAGATATATGACATCCCTCAAGTTACAAAACCATTCAATTTAGGTCCTTCGGTGGTTTTAACCCTGGTATTGTCCGACGTGGCGACTGAGTCATCGTGGGACCCGCGTGGGACCCACATGTCAGACTGTCCACGTCACCACTTCTTACCCTCTCCATCAACTCACTTCCTCTCTCCTTCCCTCTCCATGGGCGGTGGCTGGCGAAGAGCAGCCAGGGCGGCGCGGCAGGATGGTGCGGCGGGCGCGGGCGCGGTCGCCGGTGCAGAGGAGCACGCCGCGGTCGGGCGTCGCCAGGGCCTCTCTTGTCCCTGTCGAAGTCACCCCGCTCGACGAGGTCGGCGGCGGCGAGCACGGTGTCCCGTCGCGGCGTGCCCCGTTGAAGTCACCCCGGTCGACGAGGTCGGCGCACGCGAGCAGGGAGGGGCGTCGGTGGCGGGACCACAGGGGCAGAGCGAAGAAGGAGCTGGAGGGGAACGGCGGTGGAGAGGTCGAGGAGGAGGACGCCGCTCCGACGAAACTCCCATCCGGGGCGAGGGAGGAGCGGAAGACGGAGACGGCATCAGCGGGAGGGAAGTGGGGATGGAGGCGGCGAGGAGGGAGTTGGCCGGCCGACGCGTTGTCGCCGCCGTTGTACTTCTGGCCGTTGCTCTTCCGCGAGGCCGTCCCCAACGAGCCGCCGCTCCGGCCGTCCTCCCCCGTTCCAGCGCCATGGCAAGCGACGAGAAGCCGGCGGCGCGGCGCCCCCGCCGCGGACGAGCGACAAGAAGCCGGCGGCGCGGTGCCCCCACCCGAAGCCGCCGACGACGATGATGCCGAGCGGCGCGGAGTCGTCGGCGCCGCCACTCCCTGCTCGCCTGCTACTGCCGCTGCCTCTCCGCCACCGCGCTCGCCCAACTCCCTTGCCGCCGTCGGCCTGCTCCCGCCCGTCGCCGTCCACTCCTCAACCGCGTCTCCGCTGCTTCCATAGCCACCGCCGCTGCGGGCTCGCCTTCGCCGCCCTCGCTTGCCTGCCGCCACGTGTCGCCGTACCTCACGCGGCTGTCGCCGTGCTCCGGGAGCCCCGCCATGGCCTCCCGCAGCACCACGCTCCTCATCTTCTTCGTCGAGCCCTCCTCGCCGCACCGCCCTTCCTCTGCTTCGCCGCCGTCGTCGGGAGATGACGGCCTAGCCCTAATCTTCTCTGCTCCTCTAATTGGTCCCAAACCGGCGCCCGCAGCGCGTTGTATGCCGCCGCCGCCACCCGGAGTCCCGCGCCTTGGCGTCCTCGCCGCCACCGCCCAGGCCTCTCTGACGGCCCGACCCCAAGGTCGCACGTGCGGTGAGCCGGTGACGCTCTCCCTTCTCCTGCATCGTCGACGACGCCGCCGCCGCCGCATCGCCGGCCCGCCAGATGTCCTCTCCCACCTCGCCCTGACGAGCTCCCCACCCGCCGGGGAAAGGATCCTCTGACTTAACTGCTGTGCAGTTGAGTCACTGACATAGGGCCATAGCAAAGTGGGACCCACATGTCAGTGACTCAACTGCATGTGCAGTTAAGTCAGAGGATCTGCTTCCACCCGCCGGGCATCCTGCAGAGGGGAAAAGAGAGAGAGAGAGAGAAATAGAGAGAGAAGAGGAAGGGGGAGAAGGTGGAAGGGATAGGTGCTGACTGTACACCCTGATATGTAGGACCCACGTGGATCCCACGCTAACTCAGCCGCCACATCAGACGAAACCGGGTTCAAAACCACCGAAGGACCTAAAGTGAACGGTTTTGTAAGTTGTGGGATGTCCTATATCTGGTTTTGCGGTTGGAGGATGATTTTATAATTCGATGACAAGTTGAGGGACCTTCGGTGTACTTTTTCCTAATATGTTGGAACGGGAAAGATTACCCGTAATCAGTGCCCCGGGATGTAGGTATCGACTGAACCTCATTAACAAATTAATATCGTGCCTCGGTGTCATTATTATTTGTGATCTTCTATGGTGTTTTTCTATGTTCGGCTATGGATGTCGATTTCGAAGTTGATTTGATGACAGATGATTTGCCATATATACTCACATTTAGAGTTCTAGAGTGTAACAAATTGTAAATGATATGATATTTTTGTGTTAGATATATGATATAATAATTACGAATGGATGGTAATGTGGCATACTTGTATTTTTTGAGCTTAAGAATATAGAGTGTTATAGATAAGGCAAAATTTACTATAGGATACTCAAAGATTGTGGCATTAGCTATGAGACACCCGAAGAACATGAATCTTTTCGTAGACATTGTAAAAATATGGTAATTAGCTGCTGGACACTCCTCCCATTATTTTATTATTCCCAGCCAAAATGGAGAGAGAAAGAGTGGTGAAAGTACCAAAATGCCCCTGCGCCGTTCTGCTTATAAACGCTGGTCAACATGATTAAACGTCACAACTTTCAGGCACCAAATCGGTTCAATGATGGATGAACAATCGGCTAGCTAGTATACACACAGAAGTACATAGTTGGACAAAATTTGTAGCGTTCATAGCTTTCATATAATTTGTGTTAATAAACTGTCACGTATATGTGCTTAGGCGTTGTGTAATTAGTAGCCTTTTCCCGTGCGCTTTAGCAGCACGGCCGGGACGAAAAGCGCGGCGAAGGCGTAGGGGTCGACGGCGACGGCGCCGCCCCTCCACGGCGCTGGCGTGTCGGGCGCCGCCGCTACCCTGGCCACGAGCGGGCCAGACAGCGCCACGACGCAGAGCTCCGCGAGCCGCCACACGGCGCGGCGGAGCCACCGGAGCCTGAACCGACGTAGGCACAGCCCGGGCCTCCACCGCCACTGCCCATCCGCGTGTTGCTGCATCTGCCTCCGCGGCCTCGCCTGTGCCTGGGTTACGCGTTGACGACGAGCCGTATACAACGATTGATCCATCTCACTACTTGATTCTTCCCCTGCTGCTCAAATTAATTCCCACATAATTTTGTACGAAATAAGCTAGATTAATGTTTGCCAATTGCATTAATATATGACTCTTGCTTATGTTTCAATATAGTCTCTATATGTGTCGTCAGTTGAAATTATTACGTGGGTTTTAGGCTTTTAGCCCATCTGAAGAAAAATTTCTAGGTAAATCTCAAAGCCTACTTCGTACGTAGTAAGAGACATGCACATAAATAATCTCTAGTGTTACATTGCTTGTTTTAGAAGAGTAAGACTACGTACCTTAAAAAGGGTGAGTGTTCTTTTAACCACTTCAACAATAGGTGGTGTAAAACTAGAGAAACACGCATGCTCCCTCACCTTGCTAGGCTCAGGGGGCGGATGCATGCGACATGCACGTGAGTGGTCCGATAAAATTAGCTTCTCATGCTTACTCAGTTTTGTTTGGAAACTTATTGGATTCCCTAGTGCTTGAAGTAGTGTAAAGTTCGGATAAGTTACCGTCGTTACGTTTTTTAACATGTTTCGTATGTATAAGATGGTTCTTGCTAATCTATATGTTGTATGCCATATTTATTTACATGTACTTATATTTTCAGCAATATATATTTTTTTCTATTTGCATTTTTTTATCAAATTAATCTACACTGATATAATTTATATCCATGTGATTTTCTGGATTAACAGTGAATATGATGGCTCCTTTAACCTTCTAATAAAAATATAAGGAAAATAAGTTACCTCCATCCTAAAAGGAGTTGGTTTATATTAATTATAAGCCAAATTAGTACGGAAGAGAAAATATTAAATTGCCTCTAATTAGTAAATAAGTAGTATTTCCTACCAGGTATGGAATGAGTAAGAGCGAGTACAATAAAATGATGTAAGCGGGTTGTACAAGTTGCCACATCTCATTTGAGCTTATGTAGATAAGAGATGAGAGAAGAGAGAAGAAAAGTAAGCTACAGATTTATTGACAGTTGCGACATGGACTCCGATAAACCATCCGAGAGAGATGGTTATATTATGTATTAATGATGTAGTATATATTCAACTAACTATTGTATGAGTGGAGCTGGTTAGTATTTGGCTATATTATTAAACTTGCTCCAAGACTCATTATAGGAGTACTACCTAATTTGAGGACCAAGTCTTTAGGTGGCTCCAAAATAACCTTTTTTAGATAAATTTGAATCCTATAAATTAACTCTTTTGGAGGGATGGAGTATATATTGTCATGTGTTTATACAGTGGTAGCTAGGTAGGATACTCATCACTGAACAGACCACATGTTTAACGTTGCACAACTCTAAATTTAAGGAGTTTCCTGTTAGGTCAAACTATTAGAGCCCGCAAAAAAAAGGTCAAACTATTAGAGGCATATTAATGAAAGAGGAACACCAACTGGAATATACACAACTAATCAGATCAGACTGATCACCAAAGTAGAATAAGTGAACTTCTAGATCATCCATGCATCCTAGGTATCCTGGATAGTAAATACTATAGTAAATTCTTGAATAAATACCGAGTATATATAAGTAAATATGGGTCAGGAACTCAGGATTCACGTGCTAAATACCATTAGCTCGCTGCATTAATTAGATATAATACCGCGAGGATATTTTTTAGATAATAGAATAGTCATCTCGGCTTTTGCTCAAAGAGAGCTACATCCCATTATTACAATCTAGCACACTAAAACGAGTGTAGTTCAGAAATGATAGAAGAAATGACCACACAAAGGTAAATTTAACCAAAACAAGATCAGGAGAACACATTATTAAAGTCTATTTGTGAATCACCATCCATAATTGGCAAAAAGCTACATAACCGTCGTCTCAAGCTTACGAGATGCAGCTTTTAAAAGCTCACCGTCTTCATTTTGGTCATGCACATTAATTAATTTATACTTGCGATCGAGGTGTATGTAGGCAAGTCTGCATCTAGCTTAGCTGTTTGCAGATAACTAAATGACATTGGGTTGTTGATTAAACGGAGGAATCAGGAAAATATATAAATTATATATGTGACCATATTAAGTCGTTTAAACTAATAGAAAGACTACAGTAGCGCTATAATGGGAGTGACCTTCCTTCTGCATACAGAAATACTACTTCACATCCTAGTAAGAAAAACTCCCTCCGTCTAGTTGTTGATTTTTTTAAATATATTTGATCGTTCGTCTTATTAAAAACTTTTGTGAAATATGTAAACTATATGTATACATAAAAATATATTTAACAAGAAATCAAATAGTATGAAAAGAATTGATAATTACTTAATTTTTTTAATAAGACGAACGGTCAAACATGTTTAAAAAAATCAACGGCATAAAATATTTAGGGACGGAGGGAGTACTTTCTTTTGGCAATGTATTAGGGCTTATCCCTGAACTCTGTTCTTGCTTAATAAAATCTCCGTATGTTCAAAAAATAATAATTCAAAACCTGCACCACATTGCACCTCCCAATCTTTCTCTCTTTTTTTTATGTCAGATCAAATATGTTGATCCGGCCCAATCTCTGTTTTCTCATTGCCGCGCCCTTTCTCCACGCTCTCTCTGTAGATCTGGCCAAAGATCAGCGTGGCAACTGTTGATGTGTAACTTGAGTGCAGTAGGGCAGCTCAAGCATGGCAGTGGGTCCCTGATCTGCAATATATGGACTCGTCGGATCCACGGTAGCGAAGTGGTGCTTGGGTGAGGTAGCACAACCGATGATGAGGCGGAGCGGCTGAGGCATAGGATCGTCCGATCCATCAGAGTCGAGGCACACGAATGGTGGATCTGGCATCGGTGAGGCGAATGAAAAGCGGACCTACAACGGTGAGGTATACAGGAGTGGATGCTTCTGACAATGATGAGCACGACAACAAGTAAGACCGCGGCTCGGTTGGTACCTGATACTCCCTCCGTTTCGAAATGTTTGACGCCGTTGACTTTTTAGCATATGTTTGACCGCTCGTCTTATTCAAAAAATTTAAGTAATTATTAATTCTTTTCCTATCATTTGATTCATTGTTAAATATATTTTTATGTAGGCATATAATTTTACATATTTCATAAAAATTTTTGAATAAGACGAACGGTCAAACATGTGCTAAAAAGTCAACGGTGTCAAACATTTTGAAATGGAGGGAGTATTTGGTTTGATACCTAGGTATCACAATTGATACACATGGTAATCAGCCACCTACAAGTATGATGCTAGAATCAAGTATGGTATCTGCGGTATCAGGTTTACTACCCTAGGTGCCATTTATACTTGACGGGCAAAGTGACAGTGGCCTCGTCCATCCGCTAACTCCAACCACGTGGTAGAAAGATGGTATCGGTGTGCCAACAACCGTAGACGCGGAGAGTGAGATGGAGGATAGAGGAGACAGTGAGCGCATGGTGATGGTAGGGACGTAAGGTGGTAGCAAAGTCATAGAGGTGGGGATAATTGATCAAGATCCATTGATCCTGTCATCATCAGGACCAGGGTTAATCAAACCATTTGGGTGGGATTACCGTCACCCCACAACAAGATGGTTACTGTGGTATCTGGGAAAACTGTGCGGATACCGCGAGGATTACCATGGTTTTCAAGAACTAAGAAGGTTACTGCACGTGATAACCGAGCGGTTTTGCATACCCTGGTTTTGATGATGTACCTTCCCCTAATCTCCCTCCTAAACTAATGCACAAAAAGTTAAATTCACTCGTTCGATGATCAACAGAATGATTTTCTTGGCCCATCAAGTTTGGGAGTTTCTATGATTTTACCCTAACCAACTGAGATGGGCTTATAAAGGCCCAAGGTAGAATTTAATGAAAGATTTTTTGGGCCTAGATAAAGATGATGGGCCCATTAACTGTGCTTGACAGATTGATTTTGGACCTGAGCCCAACAGGCCAACAGATCGATGGCTGTCCAAATCCTATATATCTGCGAGAGTAGCTCCCCACTAAAAATATAGTTAATACTTCCTTCGTTTCACAATATAATTCATTCTAACATTTCTCACATTTATATTGATGCTAATGAATCTTAGACTTATAGAAAAATGCTAGAATGACTTATATTGTGAAACAGAGGAAGTACTAATTTGTCTAATGAAGTCATATCATACTAATATTTGGCGTGAATCATCTCATTTATTTCTAGCATTTTCTTTACTATACTATCTCAATTATTTCAACCTTTTGAATTATCTTCTTTAAAGCTACGTTATCCTCTTAATACTATTAGCGTTGGATGATTTATGAAGGATTGCCACGTAAAGCACATGAGGTCAAACTGTTTAGCAGTAAATAAAAAAAAACTTTTAAATTACCGTGTTTTGATGAATGCAGGTAGTGTAGCTATATTTAGCATGCAAATTATTACTTTGATAAGATGACATCTTTTTAAATATTTATATATCTCTTTTTGAAAACATACGAGTGGTCAAATTTTATACTACAGTAACATCTGACAAATTCAATTAAATTCATGTATCACAGATGCATAACAGAGCATCAATTTCGTACTAAATGTTGCAGGACCGCAACTGATTCGCTTAGATTAATTAATTAAAGTAATTAGTAATTAATTGGAGCTGTAGTAGGAGAGGATCTCGCATCGAAAGGAGAATCTCGATTGATGCGAATTGAAGGAAGAAGAAGAAGCAGCAGCTGTCCAGCTCGCCATCATCAGCAGCAGCAGCTGGAGGCGTACGTGGCGGGGTCTAGAAGGCAACATCACGTGTGGGCGGGCCCACCGCTTGACTCCAAACTCATCTGTTGATCGATCGGGCTTGCGACGCTCTCATCGAGTTGAGCTAAGTAGAAAAATAATAAAAAAAATACTCCCTCCGTCTCTAAACGTTAGACGGCGTTGGCTTTTTTTTAAACCGTTCGTCTTATTAAAAAAATTAAGTAATTATTAATTATTTTTCTATTATTTGATTTATTGTTAAATATATTTCATGCATACATATAATTTTACATATTTCATAAAAGTTTTTAAATAAGACGAACGGTCAAACATATTTAAAAATATAAACGGCGTCAAATATTTAGGGACGGAGGGAGTATATAAATAGAACTTGTAAATCTATTTTGTTAGAAATTTTATGCAATGCCTTATATGTCATTCTCTCTTATGTACCTCCAATCTCTTCAATCATAGATGGTCATATTTTTCTCTTTCAAAATATATAAATCTTTAGAATATAGTATTGTTGAAGTGTAGAAATTTGTTATATAAAACTACTACAATATTTATGAGTTTGTTTATGCGAGGCATCATTTATGATACAATTTATTTTTAGATATTACATAAAAATAATATTTACTTTTACTTGTTAAAACTGTATGTGTAGCAATTTTTTATAGTAGTAGAAAATATTTGTATAAGATAAATATATGTATATAAGATGTAAGAATATATTATATTACTATTAAGAAATGCTACATGAATAATTTTTAATAAATAAAAAATGAATATTAACTTTTATTCTCATAATCTAAAAATATTTTTTATCGTCAATAATATCTCACAAAGCAACTCGTAAATATAATAATCTCATACAATAAATTTCTATACTCCAACAATATATTCCATATATCTATATGTTTCTTCGTACCAAAATACAAAATAGATATTTTTATAGGAATTTAACGGTCAACTAATAATCAACTAATAAAAGAAAAAGAATAGAAGGGATCTAAATTAAAATTGAGAGGTATATAAATGAATGACCAAAGTCAGGAGTATACAAAGAATTGCTTAAATTTTCAACCGTACACAAGGAATTTTATCATAATATTATCGGTTTGAAAGTCACCCAAAATTAATGGTAGTATACAATCATAAAAAGAAAATCTCTAAAATTAAATTCAAAATGTGGTCCCAATCTGATAAGAGAGAGAGAGAGAGAAAAAAAAAACAATCTGTGTCACGATCCATCCATGGAGAAAAAACACAAGATCAGAAGAAGACCGAGAAGGCTCTCATTCGGTCGTGCTCTTCACTTTCAAGCTCCAATTAATCAATCTATGTCACCAACCTAACCCTTTTTCTTTAAGATCAAACGAGACATTAAACGATTAGATAGATATACGAGTAGTACTTATATATACGTTTATGCTTAGCATAATTAATTACCTGTCGTTATCTCAGATTCTTGTCTTGACTACTGCCTGTCACGTAGAGAGATGACGGGTGTAGCACTCCGAGTGCCTTTCCATTGAGCTGGCTGCAGGCAGCTTAATTAGCTGATGAACATGTCCACATCTTCTTTTTCTTTTTTTCCCCTTGTTTTGTCAATTGTCATGCATGCCTCTCCCACAGGTTTCAATGACAGTGTGAGACAAGCTTTGCTTTATCTATGGATTGGTGGATTAATGGATATGGTGGTTGATGATCACTATGTATGATGGTAGTAGGAGCTTGCAATGCAACCTTATCCATTCCTTTTTTTTCCCTATGGGAAGATATTTTCAATCAAAGTTTGGGAATTGTGTATATGCTATATATAGCTGCGAGCCATCGTCATATTTGCAAACGAAAAGTAATTTGGGAATAAAATTTTTATATATGTGTTTTTAGCGGTCTAAAAGGATAAGCTGAAAAGTAAACTTCGATGAAAAAAAACCTCAAAATCAGCTCTAAATTTAAGGTTGAAAATTCAAATTTTGGCTAATAAGCATAAGCATAAGCCAAAAGATGAGACCCTACTACTCTGTCAAAAAAAAAAGAATTCCTAGCTATGAACTTGGACACACATCGATTCGTAGGTACGATTGGTTTTTTTTTCTTTTTTAAGGAGGGGGTAAGTTGTAGCTATAGGAGTGATATTTGTACGATAACAATGGGATAGTTTGGATTTTGACATCACACTAAACAATATCATTTCACGCAAAAGTTTTCACATCAAACAATATCTTCGAAAAAAAAATTGATGGAACAGCAAACCGAATAGGTCTAATGCTTAAGCTTAGCTGTCCTATCCACCATTTTGCTTGTGCTTAACATGTTTTTGGCTGAGGTGCAGTTCATAAAAATCAGCGGTTGAATACTTGAATTAGAAAACGTGTTATTGTGAATGTGTCCTTCTCTCCCGTGTTTATATACACATGGTCAGTTCATGGATTTATATTAGTTATCTTTGGCTCTTTTAAGCACATACTCCCTCATTCACTAAATGTTTGACACCGTTGACTTTTTTAAATATATTTGACCGTTCGTTTTATTAAAAACTTCTGTGATATGTGTAAAACTATATGTATACATAAAAGTATATTTAACAATAAATCAAATGATAGAAAAAGAATTAACAATTATTTAAATTTTTTGAATAAGACGAACGATCAAACATTTTTTAAAAAGTCAACGACGTTAAACATTTTGGGATGGAGGTAATATTATGATATAAAAATAGATGCATTTTTTTGACCGCAGCTCCGCGAGTGTATAGCGTAGATGCGAATGGATAATTTGAAAAAAAAAAGGTTCATATGAATAACTGCTTATTGTCTTCGACGGAACACTTTACACTTTCTAAATTTAACAAAAACACGAGAGAGAGAAAAATAGATTTATTAGCTTATATCCTCGTAAAGAAAGTAAAATAGAAATGCTTTCCAGAAATCACATTTCCTCGGCCGTGTACTAAATTTAGACGCCCATAGAAGCCAATCAAACAAAGCTCTACCCTCCGGCCCCACCACCATCGCGCGATCTGAGCCGTCCATTCCATCATCCAACGGCTCACAACCACCCAACCTAAATAATAAACCCAAAAAAAGGGGGGAAAAAAGAAGGGGGAAGAAGAAGAAGAAGAAGTGGCTCAACCATCCATAGGTTAGATTGATGCCATGGCATTCTGGAGTGCGTGAGTCTCGAGGCAAATCTGGATGCTTCCAACCCCCACCATCCCCACCACCTCCCTCCTCGATCCCTCGCCTCGGAGGCCGCAGGTCCAAGGTTTCCTCGCGAGCTGGGCTCTCTCTCTTTCTTCCACTTTCGGATTGGTGATTGGTGTTGGGGGCGTTTCTTGATTCGGTGGTGGGGTGGGATCGATCGCCATGGGAGAGCAGCGGCACTGGATTTATTTGTGAGGATGATTGTTGAATTGGTGAGTTGTTCGTTCTTGGTTCCCCTCGCCTGGGTTCCTTCCTCGGGGGAGGTTGGATTTCTCGTTCTGATTTGGGCGGAAAGATGTGGGGTTCTTTTTTTTTTATTTTTTGATTTTCCATTTTTTTTTTACTTGTGTCGGTGGAAGGTTTCCTTTGTATTAAAGCGGCTATTTTGATTCGGGTTTTTTGCTTTTTTCCGGATCAGAACATTATTAAGCGTTGGGCTTTGCATTAAAAATTTTCCACTAAAAACTTGCCCTCCCTCAATTCCAAATTTTTGTTAACTAATTTCTTCGACAAATAAATTTTTTGTGCATTGTGCGTGCCTGCTTTGCTCTTTTGTCCCTTCCTTCCTCTGATTGCTTGAGAGATTTGCCCGGAGAGCGGCGTGCTTGCTTCGATTTTAGCTTGTTCTATTCCGTTCTCTCCTCGTTTCTTCTTCTTTGAATTAATTTGAGACTTATCAATTTTTGTTCCCTGCGCGAGCTATGTATGTGCCAAATTAAGTGTTCTTGTTTGTTACCCTCATTTCCTTTGGCCAAATTCGCGATGTCTCTCGTTTTTCGCTGACTCCGGACTCTCCGCCCCCAATTCGTGTGGACGGTTTGTCTTCGAAATGCCAAATGCTAAGCTCCAACCATAAGCCGGTATTACTTGTTTTGGCTGCATCCATTTTCGCCTAATTAAGCAACACAAAAAAATTAGGCAAAAAAAATAAAAATAACTGGAACATGCCATGTGTAAGCAATGCGATGCTTTGTGTGTTGGCAATGGTGCGCGTGTGAAAAGGGGAAGAAACCGAGGCTGATTGGCGGTGGCAGCCTCTGCTGCATTTGGCGTTCAAGGAGGATAAGGTCCGAGAGCTTTGCGTGTTTCCCTCACATGTTTCTGCCTTTTTTTAGGTAGGCTGGTTTTCTGTTTCTGTGGTATTTAGTGTAGCACCTTGTTTTCCCTTTGCACGAACTGTTCTTAGATTGCAAGGAAAAGTTTCACCTTTATTTGCGACCTCAATTAGCTGAGCACCTTGCCATGTTCTCTTTGTGCGTTGCGTGCCTGATTTCCATACGGAGACCGGGTTTTTTTTTGCCTGAATCTGATTGCTTTGATGGTTTGGTAATTCAGGTGGTGAAAAGTTTCAATTTGGTTTCCCTTGTTTGGTCTTGTGAGCTCAGATGTATCAGAATTGGAATTTTAACTAACTAACCAACCTAACTTGGTGCCTAATTTGTTTGTGCAGGCAGGCAGTATTTGAGCGGTTGTCTCCCGAGGAAGAGGAGGGATTGCTAGTGTTGATCCATTGTAGTAACAGAGAGAGAGAGAGAGAGCCAATCTTTTGATGTTTTAGAGCATAGGTGTTCTTTTTTGCAGTTCCAATGGATGCTAAGGGTGTTAATGACCGGGATGCTCTAATTGATCTGGAGAGTGGAAATAACATTGTTGTCGGCGAGCATAACAACGGGGCGGATGCCAATTTTGCTGTTGCCCAAGAAAGAACAGCACCGAATGGTTCATGGAATGGTGCCATGGGCACCAATGGATGCCTGAAAGATGATGTAAATCATCAGCACATGTGTTGCTGTCTGTCCTCTCCAGATGCTGCTGCCAAAAATGGAGATGACCGGAAGTCTGATGGGGAGGAGAAGCTGGGCCTTCTGGATACTTCCGGAGGCGAGAAAACAAAGAAGAAGCGGTCCAAGAAGCCACCGCGACCACCACGGCCACCAACACCCACGCCATTGGATGTTTCCGACCAGAAGCTCCTCAATGAGCTGAGTGAACTTGCTATATTGAAACGGGCAAGGATTGAGCGGATGAAGGCTTTGAAGAAGATGAAGAACGCCAAACATGGGTCTTCAAGTGGCAACTTGTTTCCCCTGATCATTACCATTATCTTCTGCCTCGTCATACTCTGGCAAGGTATACCAAATTAGTCAACTTTACTGGTACTAATATGTCATATATTCTTTATTTGTATGGGAAAATGAAATTTTGATTGATTAATGAATAATAAAACATTGCTTGATCTCACTGCAATTTAACTGTATATACTTTTCAATCAATGTCCTGTCTAGTTTCATACATGTACAGGGATTTGTATTTTTCTTCTGCTGTTGAAACTTGTGTGGTTAAGTTTGCTGCATGTTAATTTTCTTGATTCTTCCACTATTTAGAGAGTATGTTAGTTGATATGTTGCTAAGTTAAGATCTTTAAAGTCTGGTAAAAAGAAAGCTCAGAAATGGTAGATATCAAAGAACTCCAAGTTGTTAGTTCATTGTTTTATACTTGCAATATGATGTTATTATTTATGTAAAATTATTCAGAAATTTTGAATATGGTTTCCTGATCTATAACCTAATTCCACCCAGCAGTTTAATTATATCAATAGGCATGTTTACCAATGCAGTTGAATCATGCAAATCATTACCAAAGTACATCACACAGTTTCAGATTTTTGGTGCTCATAAAACAATTGCCCTAAAATTCCTTATTTTGATGCCACAGGTTTTTTCTCACGAACGGGGTCGGCTGTGAGCTTCCATGGATCACCTGAATCGTCCGTTAGAGCGCATAGCAGTCTGATCTCCATTCGGTTCTACAAGAACAATAATTCTAATAGCAGATCTCGAGAGGCCATATCGGCAGCTCCCAAGTATGTGAACTTTGTGTCTCACTCTCTCTAAGCATTTTTTAAGAAAAAAAAAAGAGTGCTCCAACTCAACAATATATCTTACTCGGGTCAAGATCTGGATCTGGCTGTTACAATCTGTTTTTGCAACGAAGTTTATTCGTTTACTCTGTTTGTTTTTTCATTGTACTGCACAGTATATTTGATTCTGTTGCTAATGTTTCTAGTTTCTTCTATCTTTGCAGGAATGCTGAGACACCATCGAGGCTGGAGATCCATAGCAAAGCAAGAAAGATCACGAGATGAACATTGCGCCCCGAGCATGATCCGCCATCCATGATTGCCGTCGCCGCAATGCCTCCCAACTTGGCCATTTTGAAACCTCATCACGTCAGGTTGATGTAAATTATGAGAATTTCAGTGCTTCTCGAGGCCGTCCTCACTGTAAATGATGAACTACTCTTTTAGTGTGGGTGTGTGCCCCCCTCTCTGGGTTCTATGCTAACCAGTGGTGGTAAGAGCAAGCTGTCTTGTTACAATAATAATAAAATGTTGCTCTTAATAATAGTAGTATGATCTAGTCTAATTACTGTTTGGCCCTGTAATGCTGCATCTGGTAGCAATAAAAATCAGAAGTGTGTGTTCTTGGCTGTTCATCTGAACTCTGAAGAGATGAGATGAAATTCTGAAACCCAGATTAATTCCAGTTGAGCTAAAACTGTTGCTGCTGTCTGTGGTTGGTGTGGTTGATCTGCACTTCTGCAGGAGGGATCTCTCTGTGGATGGATTCCAGATCTGCACAGTATACAGCACGGTGTGTCGGCGCTTGCACCTGTATGATGGTTGTACTCTCGATCCTGTTGAAAATAATGTATGGAGAATCTGATCAAGAATCAGTAATTCAGATCCATTTTGTTTTGTCTGTAGCGTGTGTGGTCTGATGTTAATTCCCACATGGCATTGCTTGCTGATCGTCCAGCTACACTGTTGAGCTGGACTGGACTGGACTCTGCTTGATTAGAGAACTCTCTCTCTCTACCTGATTCGATTCGCTCATGACTGAGTGTGAGAGTTGACTTGGAGTGATGACCAATGGTAAACGCTAATCGTGAGAGATGACCTCTACTTAATGCTCGGTCGGAATCTTCAACTACTCTACTAATGTTCAAAAAGCAGTAAAATGTTGATACAATACTCCTTCCACTCATGCCTATATCAAAAGTCTACATTTTGAAATGGAGGTAGTAGTCTTTAAAAATACTTCAATTTTACTTAATTTTTTTTAATGTATTATAATATAAAAATCATAGTCAAAGATACGTGATTGAAATCATTCCATTATGGACGACATTGAAATTTAGAGACAACTAAGGTTCTCATCTTTTCTCTTATGCTTATGCGTATCATCTAAATTTTGAATTTTCAACTTTAAATTTAGAGCTGATTTTGAGGTTTTTTTTATCGAAATTTATTTTCCAGCATTTGCTTTTATATCGCTAAGAACACATATATAAAAATTTTATTCATAAATTATTTTTTTAGTAAACGTGCCGTTTCGCTTATTCCGCGAAACGATGGCTCCTTAATACTACTATCAATTGTTCTTGTCTCCACTAAAAAAAAGGAAAAAGTTTTCTTGTCAGAAAAAGGGTGAGCAAATGAGCAATGCAGCTGACAATCCAATCCATAGCAGAAAGGGCTGGGATAAATGGGCCGAAATGAGGCCAGCCCGTTTATGTCCAGCAACATTTGACACTCTGGGCCGTGCTGCCCGTGCCTGCGCATGTATTGGCCCACTTAATTTTCCGAATCTATGGGCTTTGTTGTGCTATAAGATCGTATTGGGCTCCTCATCTTACCACGTGAGGATTATCTACACCGCCCGATCCGTGATAGAAGGTCGAGATCAATCCAGATTGTTTATTCCCCTCACCGCTCGTTCGCACTGAGCCGCTCTCGCGCTGCGCGATATGTGTTCGACCAAATGCCGCCTCCGCCTCCTCCTCCCCCTCCCCCGCCGCCACCTCTCCACCGCGCCGGCGACGAGCCACCGGAATAAGATACCGGCGGACCCATCCCGTACGGAGCGGCCTCGTCCAGACCCTGGCTCCGGGGACTCCGCGAGGCACCATGAGGCAACCGTCAGGAGGCTGGCCGCGGCGGGCGACGTGGACGGCGTCCAGTACGCGCTGCAGGAGATGCGGCTGCGCGGGGTGGCGTGCACCGAGGACGCCCTCGTCGCGGCCATCGGCGCCTTCGCCCGCGCCGGCTCCGCGGACCGCGCGCTCAAGACGTTCTACCGCGCCAGCGACCTCGGCTGCCGCGACCCCGGCGTGCGGGTCTACAATCACCTGCTCGACGCGCTGCTCAGGGAGAACATGGTCGGGGCGGTCGTGCCGGTGTACGACAACATGAGGAAGGCCGGCGTCGATCCCAACGTGTACACTTACAACCTGCTCATCAGGGCGCTGTGCCAGAACGACCGGGTCGATGCCGCGCGCAAGATGCTCGATGAAATGTCCAGGAAGGGGTGCCACCCGGACGAGGTGAGCCATGGGACGATAGTTTCGGGTATGTGCAAGCTTGGCAGGGTGGAGGAGGCCAGGGGATTCCTGGCTGAGACGGTGCCGGTGCAAGCGTCGTACAACGCTGTCGTTCACGCGCTTTGTGGAGAGTTCAGGATGTGGGAAGTGTTCTCGGTTGTCAACGAGATGGTGCAGAGGGGATTGCAACCAAATGTCGTCACTTACACCACTATAGTCGACGCATTTTGCAAGGCCAGGGAGCTGAGGATGGCTTGTGCCATTTTGGCTAGGATGGTAAGCATGGGATGCACTCCAAATGTTCTCACATTTACTGCGTTGGTGAAAGGGTTTTTTGAGGATGGAAAGGTACATGATGCACTTTCTATGTGGCATTGGATGGTGGATGAAGGATGGGCTCCATCAACAATCTCTTACAATGTTCTCATCCGTGGCCTTTGCTGCATTGGTGATTTGAAAGGAGCATTAGATTTCTTCAACAGTATGAAAAGAAATGCCCTCCTTCCCAACGCGACTACCTATTCTACGCTTGTTGATGGCTTTTCTAACGCTGGAGATCTGGATGGCGCCATGCTGATATGGAATGAGATGAAAAGTTCCGGTTGCAAGCCAAATGTTGTTGTTTACACGAACATGATCGATGTGCTTTGCAAGAAGATGATGTTTGACCAAGCAGAGAGTCTTATTGATAAGATGTTAATGGACAATTGTCCTCCTAACACCGTGACATTCAACACGTTGATTGGAAGGCTGTGCGATTGTGGAAGAGTTGGGAGAGCATTGAATGTGTTTCATGGGATGAGAAGGAATGGATGCCATCCAAATGATAGGACTTACAACGAGTTGCTTCATGGCCTTTTCAGAGAAGGAAATCACAAAGACGCTTTTGCAATGGTGATTGAGATGCTTAACAATGGGTTTGAGTTAAGTCTAGTAACTTACAACACAGTGATTAATTGTCTGTGTCAAATGTGCATGAGGAAACATGCTATGTTGCTTCTGGGGAGGATGATGGTTCAAGGAATTCAACCTGATGCATTCACTTTCAATGCGATAATTCATGCTTATTGCAAGGAAGGGAAGGTCAGTATTGCTGCTTGTCTATTGGGACAAATGAATGCAGTGAACTGCCCACGCAACGTAGTTGCGTATACCATTCTGATTTCAGAGCTTTGCAATCAGGGTAAGCTATCAAATGCCATGGTTTACCTCTTAAAGATGTTATATGAAGGTATTTGTCCGAATGAAGCAACATGGAATGTGTTGGTTCGTGCAATTTTTACAAATATTGGCACTATTGGACCAATTCATTTGTTTAAGTACATTGTTGAAGATTTATAAGTGTAAAGTCACAGTTCAGTGGTGTTACAGCTTCAAGTTGCCAGCGAAGGGTCAATCTCACAAGCAGTAAGTTCTCTCTGCTAGTTGCTTTTAATGTTTTTCAACATTATTTTTCGAGTGTTCAACTGTTGGTGTTATTCAAGTTCATTCGTGCATCTTCTGTTCGGTTAGCGTGTAGAATAAAAAACATAAATATTGCTTGCGTGTTTTCTAGTATTACATATATTTTTAGTCATTGTTGTTATCCTTTTGTGTATCTGTCCTGCTCAAGTCGTTAAAAGGATTCAATAGTAACTCTATAACTCCCAGCTGGTTTAATATGGATGTACACATGGTAGGAACAAAAAAACAATAAAACAATTGTTTTTTAGTCAAAATGCTTCTGTTTGATTTCAATACCTGATATCTCATTCAGTATCTTCGAAGTATGTGGTGTAGCACAAACTTCTGTAGTGCTCATCATATTCCATATATGTAAGATGAGATGAAGGGGGGTAATAGCTACACAAGGCATCACACGATATACATTTTATTGCATTCATGTAATCTTGAGTACCAAAGTTCAACTGAAAATTTACATGTAGAGGCCGGAACGATATCCATTATCTAAAAATTGAAAAATTTACAATGGCATTCTAGCTTTTCATTTAGTGTTCAAAGGGAACATATTTCTTTACTTTGATTTGGCGGCAACCCTCTGTTCCTCCAGTTTTTGGTATACTTTCTCAATCTCAGGCTACGCACAAAGAACAACAGATTAGAACTACTCGTCAGCAGCAAGGAATTTCAGTGGCAAGTAAGGAACCGAACAAATAATTAGATACTGTTAGAGAAACAAGTATTACCTTGTAATATTTTAGCATGTTGTTTCTTTTCTTTTTCATTGTTGCAGTCACCAAATCCCTTTCAAGGTCAAAAGGAATAGGGTCCAATATTACACCTTTGACATACTCAAATCCCCGTAGCTGCATGGTGACAAGTAATGAGGGTTACTATATCTTACATGATTAAACATTAGGAATCTAAAAATACTTTCCAAGTTTCCTTTTTTCTAATTCCAACGAAAAGAAAATCATGTTGAACATAGTATTAGCCTATTAGGATACTTTAAGGGATAGAATGATCAAACATGTGATATGTTCAGTTTTCTCCACTGTGGAATTGCATAAAGGATGTACCTTGTTCTTTGCTGCAACAGATTGCAGCTCTTTCAGGATATGCTCTTTAAGGCCTTCAGACTTGCATATTTCAGCAAAAGAACCCTTGCAGCCATTTGATTCTGCCCACTTCATGGTGTTCTCTTCATGTGGATTAACTACTGCCACTAACATTGATCTGAAGCTGTCCCCATATACCCAGACCTAGAAAGAGTGGAGAAATGACAGTATTACTTAATTGTAGGGCATTATGTCCTCGAACTATAAGCTTGTGCTATATGCACTAGATTTTTAGCTTACATCTTCAACGGTTGGAGGGAAAACATATACTTTCTCCAGGTATTCAACTGCAACATACTCCCCTTGTGACAACTTGAATATATTTTTCTTTCGGTCAATTACCTTCAGGATTCCATCTGAGTTCATCTCTCCAATGTCACCTGAGAAAAAGAATGTGCCAGGATGTTAAACCTATCTCAATCCTCTATTTTTGACAAAAAAAAAAGACTCTCACCTGTGTGAAACCATCCATCAGCCATGACCTCATTCGTGAGCTCAGGATTTTTATAGTATCCGGTGAAGAAGTTTCCTCGGACGCATATTTCACCACGGGAAGGAGTACCAAGTGGATTGTAACCCATCTCAGGCACTTCTTCCAATCGCAATTCCGTATAGGTAGCAGCCACGCCAACAGTTCCAACCAGGGACATGTCATCAGGGTAACAGACCGTGCTAGGTCCCAGTGTTTCTGTTAAACCTGTGAAAAAGCCACAAAGTCTGACCTTGTACCTTTTAATAGACTAAAAGGTATCTCACAACTCAACAATTTATATTCAAGATATTATGAGGATATGAATCCTAGATCCTTTTAAGTGTCTCTGTGAAGAAGAAAATAGATGATCAAAACATTTTACTTGTTATTAACAGTCAACAAATCAAAACACTTTGACACAGGGTTGTGTTTTGGCTGGCTCCTTGGGGACTTATTTGGAGTTGGTTGAAAATCCTCTTAAACCTAGTGTTTGCACTTTGTAGTGAAAAAGATGACATTGTGGAACTAAGATAGAACAAGTAAGACCTAGACTCAAACTTGATAAGAATCTGGCTGACTGACCCACAAGTAAATTCAAACTGGATAATGCTCCTGCTGACTGGCCTTATAGGTATTTATTTCTCTTACGGATATTTCCATATCAGGCCAACTGATTCATGTTCCAGATAGAATTAGAATTCATACTTGAACTCTTCTATCAGGCAATTTGTGTGAGTTATTTTTCTATGGCTTGTAGACCTTAGCAGGTAGCAACTACCTTTATACTTTTCAGAATCAAATAATTTGTAATAACAATTAATTACTTCTTTGGATATACAGGAGAAATTTGATTGGTGGAAAATATTTATATGCATTACCATAGCCTTGGATAAAGTATGCGCAGCTGGTTACTCTCAAGAACTCTTCGATCTCATTACTTAATGGAGCCCCACCCGAGATTAATAGGCGAAGACGACCACCAAGCCTTGCTTTGACCTAAAGCAAGGAAATAACAACGAAGAGGCAGGTAAGAAAGTTGTGAGTAAAACAGCTATTGCTTTTTCTGACCTGGAAACAATTTTATCTTAGAGATTGTTTATGGAAAAAAGATAAAACCTTGCGGAAAGCCAACATATCTGCAAAAGGTGAAGCAGTTTTGTGCGTGCAGCCTGCTTTCATGTTTGCCAGTTTGCTGGATCACAAATCTTACAGTGAGCATACATAATATATTTACTGTCATAAGAAATTTATGAAGCTAATCAACGTACCGGTTATACAGAGCATTGAAAATTAATCTTCTGAGTGGTCTGAGTTCTGATAAGGCCTTCAAGATACCTAGAGCCAGTTATAAATGGACATATGAGTTAACAATCTATTAGCTTAATTAATACCAACCTTTTATTATTTTGACCCACCTTCATAAATTTTTTCATACACTCGAGGCACCCCAACTAGTAGAGTTGGCTTTAGCTCCATGAGATCATCTCTCAAGGCATTCAAATCCTGACCCTCACGAAATGCAACCATGTTATTAAGATTTTAAGGATTATCACTTCAAGAATGGAAATTCTGGAACATGTGCTCGAAATGCTCACCCCATGATAATAGCCAACTGAGGCTCCTTTGTGAAAGAAAAACTCCTCGATCATGCGGTCAAGGATGTGAGCAAGCGGTAGAAAGGAAAGAAACACATCATCTGTTGTCATCTGCATACACAAAACCACTTGTCCTGTTTATATTATGAACTTAGGTCAATACAATAATTATGCATAACTAGAAACATCTATTGGATCAGGCATTAAGTTTATTTAGACTGCTGTATCCAGCAAAGGAGAGAAAGAGCAACCTTATCGTCAAACTGCTCCATGAAGAGGTCCACACCTTTCACATATATGGCATGACTCTCATGGCTAAGCATGACACCTTTGGGCTCTCCACTTGTCCCACTTGTGTACATGATGGTGCATGTATCATTTGGTTTTGGAGCACAAGGTTGGGCTGGATTTTCCTTTCCCTGAAACACAACTCAAATATTGGTCTATCAAGACAACACTTATGTAGTCATCACTAGCATTACCACAAAATTAGCAGTCCAGAGAAATTTAACCAGGTATTTTATTTGGGTTAACAAACGGTGAATGTGTGCAATTCTGGACCTACCATTTTTAAGAAATCTTTCCACGAGTACAACTTCATCCCAATCTGATCAGCACTTGTGATTTCTTCGCTTGTTCCCGAAGTAAATGCCACCAGTCCTGTAAACATATTTTGGTGGGGATTCTTTTAGAATATTTAACATATAGTTACATCAGAGTCCCTTTATATACCATCGCTTACCTTTCACTCTCTTAGCAGACTTGCAATTTGCGGACAGTATCTGCAAATAGAAAGTTCTCGCGGTCAAAACTATATTCAGAAAAAAAGATGCAACAAATGTTAACTTGAATGTATTATACTTCTTTTATTTTCTTGTCCTGAACAAAGATAACATCGATTTCAGCATGGTCAATAATGAAGTCAACAGCTCCTGCACCTGTAATTCATGGAATGTCATTACTCATTAGGGATAATGGATACTCCCTCCGTCCCATGATATAGCAATCTAATACCAGATTGGACATTTCATAGTATACCGAATCTAGATAGGAGGGTGTCTAGATTCATTGTAATATGAAATGTCCCATCTGATACTAGGTTGCTATATTATGGGACAGAGGGAGTAATACAACTTCTAGTCAAAAGACCAAATGTCGTGCATCAGATTTGCATTAGTCGATCTGATGTTTTACGATAAGAGCCTTTAGTTAAGCAATTTTCATACCTAACGTATCGTAGAGTGGGACACAGATTAAGCTGTAACCATTGCAAGCCTGCATTTTTCAATTGAGGGGGTTATAGTAGCTTATTATGATAAAATAATGTTGAAAATCGAAATTTTCTTTCAGGTTATCCCTACTTCACAAAGTTTACCTGCATTGCTACTATCCACTGAGGGCAGTTTGATCCATATATTCCAATCCGGGAACCCTGATATAAGATCAAGCATAGGAGCATAAGTCTCCACAACTCATGTAAATGTTTCGAGCTCTCTTCAAAATATGCAGATTCCAATAATGAAAGAGAGTCTAGCTCTATGATTTGGAGTGGAAGTTTGCTTAAGTTTCTGTTCTTACTGGCTTCACCCCCAGCTGCTGCAAAGCAGATCCAACTTGCAGGACTTCTTCATACACTTCCCTGTATGATTTCCATATGTATGGCCCTATCTGTAAGGTACAGAAAACAATGGAGGAGTTTATCATCAGGAATTTAGAAAACGACAATAAGACATGGAGCAGATATGGAAGCATGATCTTAGCAGCTATATGTTGGCATACCACTCCATCTTTTACAGGACGCCATCCGAGCATCCGATTATCTGGGTACTTGCCTGCTGCGACCCTGCAGGAGGATAAGTGAAAGGATGAAAACTAAGATTTTTCTAAGTTGTGGAGTATTCTTTTATACTTTGACTTTTCCGTGTATCTTGTGATAATCTGTTGTTTAAATTTCATATCCTGCATTTGTTGCATGAAACCAATATTTTTAGCATGTGGAGTAGATTATATGTTACATGAAATTACTAGTTGAAATTTAAAAATATTATACTCATATCTTTTGGTGTTACTCTGTACACGTACAGGTTATGTACTAAGGTGCCAACTAGGTGTGACTTGTTCTCTCCTTGAGGACTGACCGTACACATGCCTGTTGACACTGGACACGGTATGTTTTTTTTAACTAGCTCTGCTTCTACGTCTCTCTCTGATACTTGGATCTATCTACCCATTGATTTTCATTTTAAATTAAAACGGGTTTATATAGAACTAGTTGAAAAGAGAGGAGGGCACAAAATGACAAATAAGATTGTCAAAGTACACGAGAAAAAATTAATCCGTTGCAGAATTTTATAGGTTACTGGCAAAAAAAAAAGAAAAGAAAAAAAGAACACATAATCCTTGAGTATGTCTCCTCCTGCAAAACTCCAAAACTTCCCTTATGCCCATCCCCACAAAAGCAGAAACTTTTCCTCAATATATAAATATAACCAAATAGACAAAAACAATTTGCCAACATAACTAACTGCGGTATTCAATTCAGATTTTTTTTTTTTGCTTTTCTTTCAACTCGCAGAACAGCTTCACACATGTGTACCATGGAGAAAACTAGAAGAAGGCAATTATCACAGTGAGATCTATGTTGTGAAAGAGCTGAAAGAAACACAAAGAAGAAAGAAGTGAAGTTGTTGATCCAACCCTGTACCTGAACACGTCCCATGATGTTTTCATGTCAGGCTCAAGTGGCGGGAATCCATCCTTTGACAGTGCACTCCTGAACACTGGCCCTACCGCCGGCCGGCCGTCCTTCCTGGGCTTTCCATCCTCCACCTGAACTGTGAAAACTTTCTTCGTCCCCCCCTCCATCGACCAAAGTGACCCCCCTACCTTGTACCATAATGAAGGTAATATTATTATCAGAACTTTAACTTTCTTGCTCTACTGAATTGATCAATGCATAGACCCAAACACAAGCACAAAAGAGGATGAAAACAGATTGTTTGAACATAATGGTGCAACTTCTCAAAAGGAAGAAAGGAAATGATAATTACTTGTTTTTTTTTTCTGAGAAAACAAAAAGCATGTAACACCAGAAAAATTTGAGTTAGACAGAAAGTCATCGATGAAAGCTCTCACCCAAGACTGTTTCACACTTATATTTCTGACATTTTGTGATTAGAAAACGGGATCATTGTAAGGAACTATTCAAAGCATTTGTGTCTGACCAAGCTTTTCGTGAATTTCTTGAATGCGGTCAGTAAAACAACACTCTCCTGTTCAAGAAAATAGTACTCTTTAACGAAGAGGAAAGCCCAAACCTTCCTCTTTAGTTTTCTTCTCCCTCTCTTACTCTCCGTGAGAGAGAGAGAGAGAGAGAGAGAGAGAGAGAGAGAGATTTTGCTTGAAAGGGAACTTGCAGAAGAGACTAGAGCTTACAGAAAAGGGGGGCTTAGAGAGAGAGAAGGCATGGAACTTACAGAGAAGCCAGGGAGCTCTTATGTCGAGTTGAGAAGAAGCTGGCAGTATCACCCTGTTGATGGGAAGAGGAGGAGGAAGAAGAAGAGGTTGCTATATATACAGGCAGAGATGGCGAAGGGAAGAATCGTCGTAGACTCGTGGGTCCCCCTATTTAGACTGGGCGCTGAAACAGCTTAACTCCATGCTTAGAGAGGGATGCTTTGGGGGAAGATTAGCTTCCAAAAAAAATCAAGCTCGACGTGTTTAGTGTGAGAACTACCCAATCAGTGAGATGAGAAGAGGACACATCGCAAGTCTGGATGTGTGGTGCAAAAGCATTTAGCACCTTAATTTTTCTTTCAATAAATTGAAATGGTTTAGCAGTTTAGCTTCATCTCCAGTCTAATATAGTCTATGGAGGCTATGGCCCACATGGTCAGCCTGCAATTAGTCAGACAAACAAATAGTCAGAAGAATATCTTAGGAGGGATGAATTCCACATAGTAAAGCATATCTTTGTGATTTTTTTTAACATGCCAACTGGTTGTCCAACAACCTAATCCTCTCCAACTGCATGACGTGCCTCGGTTTCTGGAGGAACTGAAGGCACTGAGATTATAGCACACGGAAAGTTAGAAGCCTCCAAAACTTGTAAAAAAGTAGCATAAATTTGATCGCGTCATGTGTTACAAGCCGGCAGCCTTTTTTTGACTGAATATCTGGTTTGTTCAATTAACAAAATATATAGCCTAATTGTATTGAATGGCAAATGATAACTTTTATAGTAATAGAGAGAAGAAGGAGATGCAGCCGCGCACACATAAAGTAATTTAACCGGAGGTATTCTTTTGTCTTGTTATTCTTTAAAAGCTTTCAACATCAAGTACATATCATGGAGCTACGCAGATGGAAGTAGCTGTAAGTGCCCTTTTGTGAATGTATTCCTTTCTAATTGGTTTATTGTTATCTGTTATTTCAGGGAAGTTTTTGTTACTATTTGATAGAACTTTTGTCTCACTTGCTGTTTTAGACAAGTTTCTTAACATGTTTAAACGAATTTACTTTTTTGGAAAATAATGGTTAACGGGAATGCCTTGTGAAGGGATGGTTGGGTGATAGTGTCATATTGCTGCCTACTTCAAAGCCCCCCCCCCCCACCACCCCCCAAAAAAAATTATTATTATTATTTAACCAATAGTTGTTGGCCTTTTATGTCTTAACCAATAGATTTTGACCTCTCAGAGATGGCTCGTAAACATGATCTAAACGAATTCATTAGGTGAAAAGGATTTGTCCATTCTCTAAGGAATCTTTATCATGGTCAAGCCCTCACTGTTAGTAGTACTATTGACCCCACAAGTTGTACTAGCCAATGGTCTCCATTAATCTAGATCCACCTTTTGAACTAAGTTCCCAATAGAAAATAAAATCTTGTGTTTACAGAGCTATCTATAACCGAAGAACTGATCAACCACTGGGTCACCTTGGAGGACTGCTAGTCCTGAAGCTGACAAGGGTCCATAAATTTTTCCAGGTAGGCGGCAGGTAGCCATTACTCGTCCTATTCATTAATAAATTCATGCAAAATTATGTATCGCTGGTTAGTACTAGTGCTGTATCTGTACTAGTAGAATTATTGTTGCGCATATTCCTGCAAGGTTATCATCGTTTTGTATGAGTTGGGTGTTCACAATACTCCCTCCGTCCCAAAATATAAGCATTTTTAGCTATTAATTTAGATTCATAGCTAAAAATTACTATATTTTGGGACGGAGATAGTATACATTTGTGAGGTAAACAGAATTGTCACTGGCCTCCATCTGTTAAGGGTGTCAATATCCCAAATTAAGGGTGAGTTAAGAGACGCACACTAGTGGGTGGGTGCTATGGCCTATGGTGGTGTCCAGTGTGCACCTTCAATACAGTTGAAAAAAAAACCCACTTAATTTACAGAAATTATCTTAAATAAAATCAAAAATATCATAACTACTTAATTTGGACAAATACCCAATGAGTTTGTGATATACTTTCTAGCTACGCTTTCGCAAATCAAATGATCTCCTCGGTTCTTTGCATTGTCGTCCTTTCTAGTTGAACTATAAGCTACTTGAAATGTATTTGCATGATTGATGGAAAGGTATGTTCTGCTGTTCGCCTGCTCCACGATGGTACAGTTAGCTAATTACAAAGCAGCCAAATTGGCTTACAAGTTGAAATCGTGTTTAAGATTGCAGTTTAGCATGCCTATGAAGTTCCGTCAATTGGTTCACACTTTTGCAAGATTCATTTATTGGTATTAAGTATCAAAGTATCTTCAGATCATCTAAAGTCTTGGGTCATTTAATTGTAACATTTTGTCCTAGGTGTGCTGCAAAGTGAAGAAATTACAAGAAACATTCTAAGAAGAGCATATTATCTGAAATTTATCAAACCCATGCTTTTGTAAGCAAATTTTACTGGCGTGGTATACATATCACATTCCAGCAAAACTGATAGCCGGTTTTCAGCTGGAATGCCATAGATGACGGCAATGGTTAACTATGATTTCTGCATAGTCCTCTAAAGTAATACCATTAACTTAGCGAGAAGGACATGGTGATAGGTGAACATTTATATGGAATTAATTAATTACAACGGCGGCCGCAAGGTCACGGCACCACCGCACAATACCAGGATGGCAAACATGATGGGTTCATACGGATCCATTGAATTGGAAGTGACTAGTGAGAAAGAAAGTACCTCTCTTTTTTATGAGAATGGTAAGAGATCTCTCTGCTTATTATTATATTGATGGATAGAAAAAATGTGCCAACAAAATATTATAAAACAAAAAGGAAATAAAAGATGGAGTTACGGAGGAGAAATAAAGGATAATGTATCTGATTGCAGTCATCCGGCCAAAGATTTGAAATGCTTTAACTTATCCAATATTCCAATTGCAGGCTGCTTGGTGTGATGCTATTTGACGGTATGGTCTGTGTACTGTGTATGAAATTCCTTCTGGTAATTAATTAATTTGTTCCCATTGATGCCGCACATCGTTTCTCACCTGTATATGACATTTTTTTTTATTCAGGGGAATTTGTAGGGCATACTTGGGATGTTGCACTGAGCTAGCCGTCAGGGTAACCAATCGATTACGGAACAAAAGCATGTTTCCACATTCAGTAAGATCTTGTTGTCATTGCTAGTAACTTAATCAGATAATCCAAGACTAACATGTTCACCCTGTATGCATGCAGAGTCATCTTGAGTATGCTACAATGCAAGCAGCAAGATCTTATATAGTTACATCATGGATCCCTGCAGGGTAAGGAACTGCAGATTTATGTAAGTACGTACGAGTAGGTAACCAATCACAAAATAGCCAATGCATGCACAGTGTTTTTACCAGTTGTTATTAACTGCAGCATCGCTGATGCTACTGTTCATCTTCACGCTAATTGACAGGATCATTTATTCTCCTCACCCACCGGCCTCTGGCTAGAGTTCAAGAGTGTAGGGCCGTTGGCAAATACTGGTGCAGAGGAGAGCGACAGAAGAACTGAACAAATAACTTTTTTTAGGATGGCAAAGCAAAAAAAAAAATTGCAATTTCATAAACTGAATAACTTTGGACATTTTTTGTATAGGTGGGGTAGTTGGAGTCAATTCCTGTATGGTTGCATCCATAACAAGGACATGCAATAGAAGATGCAGTTGGCCCTTTGCTCCTACCTGAATCTAAATGTAATGCATGCTGATGCATTTCCTCTTCTTTTCTTTTTTTTTTCCTTTTGTTCTTTGTGCTGATGTTATGTTACTTTCATGAAGCAAGAAAGAAATGGCATAATTTACTATTGTTGGATAATTGGAGTGAAATCTTTTCTTTAATTTTATTTATCAGGATGGTGCGCAGAACCCAGGGTCTGAAGGATCTACGTAAGTTTTTCTTTGTAGGTAGTAATAGGGAATGATTATTGCCATGTGGAAGAGAAATATCCTTGTGCCTGCCTGGTAAAGTTGTTAGAGAAATTTGCATTTTGAACCTTCCTTTTATTGCTATATGCTGGTGCATAGTAGTGTATAGTATTATGCACCCGATTAAGGGCCCCTTTGAATCAAAAGATTGAGAAAACGGAGGAATAAGAAAAACATATAATTCTACTAGAAATTATACTACAAAACAAAGGATTATAAAACATAGGAAAAATACAGGAATGATCGATTGATCAAACCATAGGAAAAACGTAAGAATTAGACGAGAGAGATGGCCTCATAGGAAACTTTCCATCAGATTGGACCTCATGTTAAAAATCCGACAAAACTTATATGGATTGAGAAATTCCTTAGGAATTTCATAGGATTTAACAGTTTTTAATCCTTTGTTTCAAAGGGCCATATAGGAAAAAAATTCTATAGGATTAGAATCCTACAAAATTTCTATACTTTTCCTTTAGATCAAAGGGCCTTAAACATATTGAGCACAGGTACTGACAGTGTGTCCAATCATTTGCTAACAGAATATAAAATTGTGTCCATAAGTACAATTGGAACCCATAAAAGACATACTATCTCTATCACATAATAAGTTAATCTAGTACTGGATATGACACATCTTAATAATATGAATATGGAGAAGAACATCTAGACAAGCTCATGTCCAAATTTATAGTACAAGTATGTGTCAAATCTAGTACTCCATCCATCCTAAAATATAAGCATTTTTGGATCCTGACATGGTCTCTGAGATGCTACTTTGACCAACAATATCTATAAAAGTAAAATGTTTTAAATAAAAAGAGTTGCATATTATAATTGTTTGTTTAATAATAAATCTAGTAACATCAATTTTACATGATTGATCTTTTTTCTTTTGCTATTAATGGTCAAAGTTTAAAATGTTTGACTTGTCACTATGCTAAAAATGCTTATATTTTGGAATGGATTGAGTACTAGATTAACTTATTCTGGAATGGAGGGAGCAGTATATATATGTGGTAACATTTTCTTCTTTCAAATTTTGGGCCTTTGGTAGAGTAAACAAAAAAAAAAAGATCTCACTGCACTCAACTCCTCAAGGACCATATACTGTAACAGTATCGGTAGAAGTGAAATGAGCTATAGTATTATGTAAACCCTTCCCATTTTGTGGCAGTTGATTGCCCTATGAAACTCCATTAATCTAAAATTCTAAATAACATTAATTTGAGTTCATCACCATGTTCTCTTAAATGATAATTGTTGATGCAAACGATTTTCATGTACTACCGATTGAATTGCATATATTGTTTGTGTTCTTTGTTTAGTGTATGTTCGGTGATCCGTACACACCAAACTGTTGGAGAAATTGACCTGATACAGTTAAACTACATGAGGAGTAAATCTGCACGCAATAAATTTCACATTGAAGTAGCATGCTAGTATATATGCTTACACATCATGAAACATACTTCTGTCTTTTAAAAAATGGACAGGAGAATGTTTGACTAACCGAGCTCATCCATGCAAGTTTGTCTATCACATGAAAGGAATTCTAATAAAAAAATATCACATGAAAAGAAAGGGCAGTAGAATTGCCATTAATTTTGACAATTTGACCCTTAGCAAAAACTATTTTTACAAATGAACCGCTGCCAAAACTTATTTTAAAAATGACCTTTTTGCTCAACGCCAAATCATGTGTCGCTGAACTTAGACACCTCAGCACCACATAGCAAGGCGCTGAATGTACGTTGGCACGCTGACTTAGTCTACCATCCGCCGTGGCACGACATTCAGCGCCAGCTGACGTGGCGCTGAGGTGTCTAAGTTCAGCGCCACATGATTTGGCGTTGAGCAAAAATGTCATTTTTGAAATAAGTTTTGGCAGCGGTTCATTTGTAAAAATAATTTTTGTAAAGGGTCAAATTGTCAAAATTAATGGTAGAATTGCAGTACTATATTTTTTAATTAAGTTTCATATGTTTGTTAGGTCATCTGTACCGACTGACTGATAATGGAATGTATAGATAGATCCCTTATGTAAAAATTAATACTATATATTTATTACAGCATAGTTAGTTTAGAAGCTCTAGTGAAGCTCAATTATGAGCCATCCGTCCATACCAATATACCCCAGGAATATATATCCTTTGCAGGTGTGTTGCTGTTGCTCCGTAAAAATATATTAATGTCTCTCAACCCTTTTTATCAATATCAGCTTCTCCTAAATATTATTTCTACAGTGTGCGGGCGACTAAATCCTAGCTAATAGCTGCAAACTTCGACGGTGCTATATTGGTGGGAGGCTACCGCAAACATACAAGAGACACCTAAGAAGGCACTTCGCACTTTGATGTTGTTGGTCGCCTGGGAGATATGGAACGAAAGGAATCGCAGAACCTTCCAACAGAAGGAGCTTTCAGCTACCTCGCTGCTAGCCAAGATCAAGGAAGAGGCCAAAACTTGGGCCTTAGCAGAAGCGAAAAGTCTTAATAATTGGCTTTTATTTAGTTAGCTCGGATTTTAGTTATCTCGGATTGAAGGTCCTCAGCTTCTTTTTTTTCTTTTCACTTTGTAAAGTTCTCCTTCTCTATTCAATAAAATTAGCGCTCGTCGATTCGTTAAAAAATATTATTTCTATTAAACTATAAAACACACCTTTTCCTTTTCAAACTTCTTCAAAATACCTTTTAGAAAACATCATACAGTTCAAGAAAAAAAATTGCCTGGTATAAGAAACAGGAGTAAAAGGGCACCCAAAAAAAGCATGATAATTCGTGCTAACCTATAGTTTATTCGTCATGTGGTCTCATAAGTTCTTAAAAAGAAACTCAACAATGTAGATGGGCATAAAAACAGAGGATCGAAGACTAGACCTGAAAAAAAAAACTGAGACTACTGAAGCTATGTGACGTGTTCAACACGGATCGGCAAACACCCTAAAACACACGTCATCTTTTATTTAGAAACTAGGTGAAACCCCCACGCGTTACTACGGGAGTTTAGTATGATAATAATAAATAAAAATAGTATATAAAATAGCTAGACGATATAAGATTATGTTAACATGGTTTATGATAATTTAAATTTAAATAGTATATAGAATAATGATTTAAATATAAAAGTAAGTTGATATGGTTTTATTAAAGAAGAAAAGTAGGGAGACAGTTTGAACCATAGATTAATCATCTTAGAGATAAAAATAATTGAGGTGATACGGCTTAATGAAAGAAGAAAATGTGGAGCTAATTTGGACCATAGATTAATTATGTAAGCACTAAAAACAATTAATGTGATATGGTTTAATGAGAGAAGAGAGTAATATCATTAACTAATTGAAGATGAACTATATAGGTATATAGGATATTATAAAAAATAATGAAGAAATATATTGAAATATTATGTGAATTATGTGAGATGATGATGTAACATGCTTGCATTTTAAAGCTCTAAAATTTAATAAATTATAAAATTCTAGATAATATAGAATGTTTGTATGATATTTAAATGTAATGAGTGTTAGTGGATGATGTAGCATCTTTGCATATTAAGCTTTAGAAGTTACTGAGTTATAACTTTATAGTAAGAGAGGATATAGTACAAATACATACGCTCACACTCACCCCTATATATGCACACACGCACATCTTATCTCTATGAGCACCTCCGGAACATTGAGCCGGCATATATTGATATTGATGGCGAAGTCACCATGGACATTTTACTGTCGATGGATATGTCATCAACCACTGAAAGAATAATTAGCCGTAAATACAAACACATGTATCAAATCTAGAATTTGAATCGGAGTGGGTTGGTTCCACACCTAACATTACGCTCACTTCGCTTTACAAAAAACACACGTCATCTTTATGTTAAAAGGAAACGTTTGCTCTTTCACAAGCATGGCAACATCATGAAAACAAAATGCATGGTGCATGGTTCCACTACAAATTAACTCAACCGGAAGATATGATTTCTAGTACCATGACTACTTAACGTTGATCCCCATGGCCTACATGTATGTGAGCACAAGTGAATTCTGGAAGCTGTAGAGATCGAGCTACATTGATAAACTGATCATAAGTGAATTGATTCTTGAAGCTGTAGAGCTACACTGATAAACATCAATAATTCAAGATTGTACAAGATAGGACAACACACGCATCAACCTGCTTTGTGGCTTTGCATATGTACAAACAGCTACTAGCTTGGTACATGGGACCCACAGATTAGTTTCAGAGAAAACGAAGGGCATTACTCCTCAAGTGATGGGTCATTGGCCCCAGCCACACACTGAGATTCCAGTACTAATCCATGTGCTGGATTAATTAGATCCCTGCATTTACTCCTCTCTTTCTCTCACTGTCCAACTTAATTAGGGCATGTAAAAGTACCCTTTTGCTCGGACGGCTACAAGCTTAGCAGCTGTTCAATAATGATGTTATACTGCTGCTGCCACTGTACCATGCAAATTATGCAATTGAGGCTTATGGGTTTCCATGCTTATGCCCTCTCAATTAGTAGCTCTTAACCACCAAAATGTTTAGACTTTTTTAGTTGAGTAAATTGCATTGACGGTACACGAACTTGTCAGGTAAGTGCAATCAAGTGCATAAACTTTTAAAATACTCGTTTTGGTGTACGGACTTGTCTAGTGGTTGTGAACCAAGACCAAAATAACGTAGCATGGCTAATTTTACCAGGTTGGATGTAGATTAGGACGTGATATGCACATATGAGATGGGCATGAGATATGCTATATTTATAAACTCGGTTCTTACATTAACCTTCTTTTTGTTTCCACCCTTGCATCATTACTCAGGTTTTTTATGTCTTTCTTTGACAACAATCATGCCTTATTTTACCTTTTATTGAACATATATATATCACATGCATGTTTACATCGCATCCTAATCAGCACTTAAATAAATGAGATTAGTCTTGTTGTGTCCTTTTGGTCTTGGTTTACACGCACCAGACAAGTTCATGCACCAACACAAACATTTTATAAGTTTATGCTCTAGATTGCACCCACCTAACAAGTTTGTGTACCGCCAATGTAATTTACTCTTTTTAGGTCATGCACTAAAGTTCTACTCCCTCCGTTCTCTTTTGATTTACGTATTTTGGAAAACAGAAAATTCCATATTGATCAGCAGATTAAAGGGCGCCTGAAATCTCGTGCGATGCTTCATACCGCACGCCCGCTCATCTCGTTTCCATCAGCGCCGCGCCGCTCGTTACTCCCGCATGCAGGCCTACAACACGCCCTCTCACGCAGTCAACCTCGCCGCTCACGCTCGCCACCACCGCTTGCGTCGCGCTCGCCGCCCCGCTCTCGTCGCGCTTGCGGTCATGGCTGACCCGCTCGCCTCACTTGCTCGCGCCATGGAGGTTGTGCCGGACTCGGAGATGGAGGTAGCGCCGGTATCATCGTCGGAGTAGCGCCGGTCTCGTTGGAGGTGTTGCCGGACTCGGAGATGCTGCTGCCACCGAAGCGACGGCGTCGTGGGGCCATGCGCGGGCCAACGAAGCTACGGCGGCATGAGGCTATGCGCGGGATAACGAAGCGCTGGCGTAGACAGCTCGTTCGATGCGGATATGAAGAAAGGAGCGATGGAGTTACCGCTCCTTGGTCTCGCTGCTAGCCTGAAATACGAAGATCAAAAGGAAACGAAGGGAGTATAACATTTTCATAAGTTTTCACCACCCATGTTTAAGGTTAGACAAACAAAAATAATGACATGGCTCAATCAATCTTGAATTTTTTTTCTTTAATCCGTAACCTATCAAGTCTAGTTGTTAAAAATATATCTCATGAAAAATATATATGACAAATGAATCAAACACATGCCGTACTCAAAAAATGTGACTCAACAAGCTAAGTGCATGAATGCATGGGTGTTGAATCGAATAGACACGGGCATGAATGCACGCATGCTTTGCAGCCAATTTTTTTTCCCTTGATTATAAATGAGATATTTTGCAAAAGCAGGGATAAACTCCGGCAGACAAGTACTACATTCAATAAATACGGTCGCTAGCTAGGCGGCCCAACCACCACACTAAACTACACTAGTACGTGACCCCAGTAAAAAAAACGCGCAGTTGCAATTTACTCTCTCAATTCTAAATTATGAATATTTATGAAGGTTTTACATGGTATTGGGAAAAGTTTTAACGATTCTAATTAGTTAAGATGAGAAAATAGTTATATAAAATAAATGAAAGATAGTTATGACTGGTTAAGTTGAAAAAGTAAGGATATCTTCGATACAACTTTAACTTCTAAATTTAACTTTGGAAAATTTAACTCAGGAGCGTAGTTTGGAGTGATCTAAACTCCACACCACCTCTCTACTTCACTTCACTTTTTATAGTTTAAGCCCACTCCGTATTTTTTAAAGCCGAAACCGTTTAATTGTGCTTCAACTTTAAATGGGGTGGAATTAAAGCCCTACTAAACAAGTCCAATGTGAAAAAATTGATATATTATATAAAAAATTTTAAACAATAAAAATTTCTATATTTTATAACATATTTCATTGCTATATTTTACGACAGAGAGCGCTGAGGACCAATTTAGTTCGCGAAAAGAAAATTTTGGGGTGTCACATCGGATGTTTGACCGGATGTCGAAAGGGGTTTTTGGACACGAATGAAAAAAACTAATTTTATAACTTGCCTGGAAACCACGAGACGAATCTTTTGAACCTAATTAATCCGTCATTAGCACATGTAGGTTACTGTAACACTTATGACTAATCATGTACTAATTAGGCTTAAAAGATTTGTCTCATGATTTTCCCCTTAACTGTGCAATTAGTTTTTTAAATCTATATTTAATGCTCCATATATATGTTAAAGATTCGATGTGATGTGTTTAGAAAAAATGTTAGGGGAACTAAACCAGACCTGAAGCTAGAGAGATGAGAGTTGAGACAGAACAGTAACAGTAGCCTGCAGCACGACGACGAAAGTGTGGCTATGTCGTCGTCCGTCCCAGCTACCATTGAACAGAATTGAATTCTTGGTCCATCCCATCACATTGACACAGATAGTCACCCACGAAAAAGATTGTGTTAATTGAAACCATTACTAATAAATACATAAACTCATGTAATGTACGAGTAGTAGCTCTCTTTACAAGCGGCTCCCATTTTCCTTTCAGAGAAAAATCTTGACTGTTTTATCATAGCTTCTGAAAGTATTATGCTCGTAATAGACAGATCTACACATATGATTTTTCTCATATATACAATCTAAATATTTAAAAGTATATCATTGTTCAAAAATTTTGAAGTTTGACTTGAGACATGTTAAAAGCAGCCTGGAGTAATTTTGAAGCGTCACTTGCAGAATTAGCCAAACAATTTCTCCCTCTATATTAAGAGTTAAGAGTCTCATCAGAGTCTAAATCACAGAGAGGACAAACCCCATAAGCAAGAGGATATCAAGCAACGCAATTTGGATGAATTGTTCAGTTCAGTCACACCTGCGTGCACATACACACATGACACGGCTCAACATGAAAATGCAATCTGCATGAATATTTTCGCCTGCGTCTCCTAGTACCTAAAACCACCTTATTACTAGTGCTAACCCCTAACTAGTGAAATATATCACATTAGGGATTGTTTATGGTAGGAGAGAAACATCAAACACTTTCGGATCCTTCCAACAAATCGATGTCTACATTGAAAAAACAAAAATAAATTGGTGTCATGTAAGTATCACACTAATACTAATTACCTCCTCTCAACATGATGGGGTAGCACTTGTTTCGGCCATGTTCTCTCCTAGGACCCCATTAAATTTGTTTTATTGCTTCAGAACCTACTCAAGATAAGGTGGTCCAGGATAACAGAGGAGTACTGCTCTATTGAGGGCATGAAAATTGGCAGGGCCAACAGATAGCAATGCGCCGAAATTTCTAGTGCAAAGCATAAAGTTCAATGCAGGTTACTCTCAATTCAATCCCACTACTTTTGAATGCAGAACTAAAAACATATCTCAAACATAGAAAGCATATGCTCATGTAGTCATGAAATAAGAGTTATGTCACCCTAAATTAGAATTTCTGTTCCCCAAAGTCAGTTATTATAGAAGCATGTTCAGATCTACAGAAAATGCCAAAGCTTATTAGTGACGCTGAGGATCTCCCATTGACAAACATTCAGATCAACTGCTGGTGGAGTTGCAGACGAAGAAAGGTCATTCAGACAACTTTCTATGTACTATCAGACAACTTCAATAACAAGGATGATGTTAGCGAAGCACATTCTTTTGGGTACTAACCCACACTTCTGCACAAAATTGTGCGTGCACCTCGTAAGCCTTATGCCTCCAATCCCTGCCAATGGTGGTATACAGCACATGAGCATTTGCAGTAGAAAGAAATCACTGGACCCAACGGCACGAGGAAAACAAGGTTTATATCTAGCTATATTAGCAATTATACGCAATTTTATATGTGATTATTTTATTACAAAACCGTAATCAAAATTCAGGGAAAATGCAGCATACCAGCGAAGCCCGCATCCACCTTCCACCCACCCAATCGCAGTGAAGCCTTAACTGTTCATGCCCGAACTCAGTCTCTTCTGTAGAAGACCTGAAGTATACCATGTACCTGTCACCACTGTTAACCTTGGATATCACACCAACCCACCATCCATCATTCCAACAAGCATCAACTTCATCAAGTAAATTGAATCCACTGGTTACAGGGATATCTGGAGGACAGGGTCTGACGTGCTGCACTTCTATGGCTTCTGTCAAAGGAGTGATTTCATCATCAGCCTTCAATGCGTCATATTCCACTAAAATCTTGTTGTTAACATATTTTAGAGCAGTCCCCTGGAACCAAGCTCCATGAAAACCATCATCATTACTGGTGACTTCGACCTTGCTGCCTTTGGCAAATTTTTTTGTCACATTCTGAAATATAGCCAAAGGAAATAGAAAGCAGTGATCGTTAGCTTTATCAGTTGAAAGAAATACTGAAATACTACATGGCAATTGATCATCATCAGTGATAACGGATAACATTGTCACCAATCTTACACATTTGGGACTATATAGAGACCATTTCTTTTATGTAATTTTGTCAAACCTAATAGGATCTTCCTGAGATGCCTTTCAATTAACTTGGTTTACTGGATGGGAAAGTAGTAGTGCTAATGAAAAAGAGTAGAGAAAAGGCGATTGAGTTAGGATTTGCTTGAATCTTTCACAAGTTACAGTTTTCACAAGTCATAACTCAATACAGAATGATTTGCACAATTGATTGCCTGTTTAGTATGCCATGAAGGAGGATCATAAATATCTTTGATTTCACTTTTAGCAATTAGTTATATACCATTTCTGGCACATGAGCAAAGGTCGTTTAGGGTTAGACCTTATGATGAGTTGATCATATGAAGGAAAGAATTTCAGAACTAAAGGGTTTATGTGATTCTAAAAAAGGTTTTTTTTTTTTGCAAAATACTATTATCGTGATATCGTCTAAAAAAAGTGAAAAGAGATTCTTTAGAAAGAAAACCCTATGCTTCAACTTCCTATTGACTGTATTGCACAACACAGTGTATTTATAGAGCGAAAAGGCATTACATAACCACAATGCCATGATCACAAGTCAAATCCAATGAACAATTTGTCTACCTATGAATGTGTTTAACAGCAAGAAAATAAAGTGATAAAGTTTAGTACAAGTGTGAGTGTGTCAGTAACAAAGATATTGCAGGTCTAAGATATAAAAGCTTATTAACTTATCCAAGCTAACGATAGTTGAACTTTAAAAGGTTCAATGAAATATATCTTAGGTTCCTAACAGAAACGGTAGAAGAACACTGTACAGTTCACTGGAAATATAGCAGAAAAGTGTAACCCAGTTCTAATTAAAAAAGTATCCAAAAGGAGCATCACTAGTCACCACAAATCTTAGATGCACTGATAGCCTGATGCAACATATATTATTACCAAACAACACCTGGCCATATTGCAGTCAACAGTTAAAGGCTCATGTACCAATACAAATTGCAATTTTCAAAAGGCCAATTCGTGATAAAGAGAGAAGAGTTAAGAATCATTCCTTAAGAACCATATATGGACAACAGATAGAAGCTTTAAGAATCCTTAAATATATTACTTCCTCTGTTTCACAATGTAAGTCATTCTACCATTTCCCACATTCATATTGATGTTAATGAATCTAGATAGATATATATGTCTAGATTCATTAACATCAATATGAATGTGAGAAATGCTAGAATGACTTACATTGTGAAATGTAGGGAGTAGCATGTAAAACAATCCAGGGATCATCTACATTAATATATTAAGTACCTTAAACTAAAGTTTAATAAATATTCCAAAGAAAGATTGCGTACAAACCTGTGTAACTTGTTGCCACTGATCATGGGTCCAGTCATACCGAAGTCTAAGTGCCTTTTGGTCCAATTGAATCTCCTTTCCTGAGTGTGCTGCCTTAAATGTATATCTAAATTCAGGATGAACATCAGTAATCACCCCTAGCCACCAACCATTGCCTTGGAAGCCTTCAACCTCATCATTGATGCAGAAAATAATAGCTGATGCATGTTGCGGGTGAGGCCTGATATGCTTCAGATCAACAATCTCCTTGGGCAACACACTACCATCATTCTTTGAACAATTGTAATCCACTAAAAGACTGTTCTTCCAGATAGCCTTCTCCACAGCTGCAGAGAACCAAGCAACAACAGAATTGCCTTCTAACTTGGCAACTTCCACCTGTGTTCCTTTCTTATATGGCATTGTCTTAGATATCCCCTGGCAGGCAAAAGGCAGTGAGGTAGCAGATAATGAATAAAAGATGGAGGGGAACACCATGCTAGTCCAAACAAAAATGCCTTAAAGAAGCGGAGCAAGTCTAAAACTGCAATTAATCAAAACAACTGAAGTACACAAATCTAGTTTTAGAAATCAAATAAGGAAGTCCAAATTCCTGCGTTCTAATAAATGATGCTACGTGCAAGACACCGCTAGAATCTCAAATATACAAGTCCGGACACTGGATCTCCAGGTTAGAGCTTCAGATTCTCAACAGGAAACATTTGCAATACCATCAGGCTCAAGGAGTTAGATCACAACATCTTATGGCAAAAACAAAAACATGATAGTGTTAGTAAGGTTGCTTCAATAATGCACATAAACTGGAGTAACCATTCCAGCATGAGCTATGCGAATCAAACAGCATTCAGCATATCAACTTGTTTGATCTATCAACTGTAACCATCATTTTATGACCAAAGCAAGTGATTAAAGTCGTTTGATCGCAACATCCAGTTTAACCTAGACTAATTAAGTCCCTTATTATGATAGTAAATGGGGAAAAAAAGACCAATGCATTTCTAATCTATCTCCTTCAGTAGCAACTAGCAAGAAGGGCTCGCCGAATTCTCTAATCTCGATAACAAAATCAGATACATTCTCTGATACAAATTCTTCACAAAATTGCGTACATTTTGTCAGTTTGGAAATTGGAAGCTGGAGATTGTACCATATTCTCCGGGGAGAGCCACTCGCCGGCGACCCACTCGAGGTGGGGGCGGACGTCGGCGGCGTCGAACTCCACCACCTCCCTCGTCTCCGGGAAGCACACCGCGACCCTCCCGCCCGCCGCCGCTCGCCCCCCCCCGAGGGCGACCCCGACCCACCACGCCCCGCCCTTGAACGCATCCACGACGGCGTGCTCCGCCGGTGGCACGCCGCGCGGCGCGTCGGGCGGGCGCGGGCGTAGCTGGGACGCCGCGACGACCTCCCCGAGCGGGCAGCCGGAGCCGTCGTAGGCGACGGTGTAGCCGCGAGGGTTAGCGTGGGAGGCCGTGACGGAGGCGGGGAAGTGGGCCCCGCGGTATCCGGGCTCGTCGGGGAGCACTTCCACCAGGTCTCCGGGGCGGAACTGATCCGGGGCAGGCGCCGCCGCCGCCGCCGTCGCCGGCGGCGGGTTGCGGCGGAGGCGCGGCGACCTCATCGGCGGGAGAGTGGAGGGGGGCACTGGACGGGGTCAAGTGAACTGGAGAGTAAACTGCAGAGAGATCCTACAGAGACAGTAGCACCGTCCGATCGGGGAGATGGAATGGACGGTTGCTATTGCTTCGATGGTCTGAATAATTTGTTATACGTATAAGAAAAATAGAAACCCCCCTACGAGCTTATAGTAAGGCCGCCTACATTTGAAAAACAGAGAATTTTTATAAATGGTCATTCTCGCCGCACGAATGACCGCACGAAAAATGTATCTTATTACATTTGAAAAACAGAGAATTTTGATACTAATGGAACGTAGGATTAATTAAATATTAATTAAAAACTTGAAAAATTAATTAGTATGATTTTCTAAAACAACTTTCCTATAGAAAATTTTTACAATACCACACCATTAGCAGTTCAAGAAGCGGAAAATTGAGAAAAGATAGCACAGAACGTAGCCTTATACGAGAATTAAGCCCGTTTCCCCATCAAATTTTGGCAAACTTGATTGATAATTGAACAGTTTTACCCCCATGAAATTCACACCTTAGCGCATACGGTTCAGAAGAATTTGACCGCTTTCATCTATGAAATGGAAACATGACTGTCAACCAGGTGTTAAAATCTGAAACGTCTTGCTAAACTCACAGGCACATGTAACGTTTGCAGCAGTTAAAGGGGAAAAAATGCTGTCCTTTACAGATGCACATCAACAAGGCATAAGCCCATTGGATTCCTTCACATTCACAGTAACAGAAATCAAACTCACCCCAAAAAAATCAATGTATTCCCTGTTAATAGACATTTGTACACAAGCAATTTCTTCAGGTCAAAAAGAAGGCGTAAAAGGAGGAAAAAGAACCTAAGTGTTAGTTCCTGTGTCGAGGTCGTATAACTCAAGATAGTAGTCCAAGCAAAGCATCCGAGGTGTACATATCATATATCATTCTTGGGCTCTCCTAGCTCAGGATGTGTTGCTGCAAACTGATCCGATTTGTCCAGTAGATCCCTGCAAATTGCAATGTGTGCTGATATCACTCAAGGTTACCTGGAGCTGATATAGCGGATAAAAGGTGCGCCATAGTACCAAGCTCCGCATGTGTTCAATCATCTGGATCCATCTCCTCATCCTGTTCTGAGGATTTATTCATGTCACTTCTATCAGATTCCTGCTGTGTGTCTTGGCTAGAATCATCTTCAGGCAAGTCGCCGTCGTAATCCTCATTTTGAGGCTCATTATTCTTGGTAGACACCATGGCCAAGCTGCGAACCATCCAATCAGGACACTCTTCTTCACCTCCAAATAGGAGCCTACCATGGCTATCTTTCGTCGACTGAACACCAGGTGACTTTGGCGTTCTACAAGAACACTCTGGTAATGGGTGGGCAAGAAAAGATACAGGTTTTGACAGCATCGCTGATTTTACAATGCCTTCTACACTTGCACTGTTATTGAGATGTTGGCGTGCAGCCAATGTCCAATTCCGTGGCGGGTGATACCGATGGTCACTAACATTTTCGAAAAGCGCAGAAATAGTCTTTCTGTTCATAAAAAGGGAAGGCATATGTCAAATCATGTAACATTAAGTATCCAGACATACTGATGGTATAAGATAATAAAGGTGTTATACCTGTCAGGCCTATAGGTTATACCAGATGGGGTTTGGTATAGCCGATGCCCCATGATCAAACTTGAGTAGTCTGGCCAGCCACTCCCATCATTATGAAACCCAGGAAAGAATGCATCAGCTTCAACCGAAACAAAATAATCAAGTGCGTCCCAGAGCAACCGATGCGCTTGCCTTCTAAATTCAACGGGAGAAGGATCTGGTTCTGTGTCATTCTCACCAATCCAGCCATACCAGCCTACTTTTTCATGAGCATAGTATGGCCTTGCAGGAGGTGGTGGCAGCGGTCTTGGGCGAGGCCCTGCTCTCTTCCATTCGTCAACGAGTTCTTTCTCAGTTTTGGGAGGTGGAGGGTGTGCCATATCTGATGCAAGAGGAGCCTCTGGGCCAACTAAATCAGATAACTCCCTCTGACTACATACAGAAGTGCGATCAACTAAGTTGGCATACATAGCTCGTAGTGGAATAAGTATTCTCTGTCCACCAAAAGTTTCAGAACCAGCCAAGTATATTATTGTAGTTGATGGATAACCTAATGCCTGAAGCAGAAGTCCAACCTGCAAAAGTGCAGATTGAAGCACCGCACAAATTGGCAACCAAAATGAATCGATAAGCACATGACATGTTAAACACAGTAATTAGCAAACTGTATCACCCTGATTCTATGGAAGAGATTAAGTTCACAGAAATAACTATTTGTCTACTTGGTACAGAAAACCGGTACCCAATAGTAATGCAAGGCATCTTGAAGGAAGAAACGAAACAATTCAAATTTAAGAAGTCTTTCTAGCTGATTTGTCTCATTTTTCCTGTGCATACGAGTGTGATTGTACAGTTAGAGATCGTTGAGACCATTTCTCTCATACCCTATATACGTATGTGAAAAGGCATAGTATCTAGTTCCACGAAGATAAATCTGAACTGCATGCATTCTAAAGTAAAACAGCATAGCACTCTTAATGAACAGCTGAAGCTCAAATTTTAATATTCACAATGTAATACAGGGCTAAACATCAATTGTATATAAAACATAAAGGAAAGATTCGCCAAGGGAAAGGAGAAACCAACAACTGGCAGTAAAACTATCTTGTTCTGCTTCTCATTTTTTCCCGAGCTCGGATTTCTTGTACTTGTACTGTTTACATTATGTTCACAAAACTAATTCCTGATTTTGGAATTACATGGGTCTGAAGCACTGCAGTATATGTATTATATCTATTAAAACAAGTTCAAAAAGAGACTCGATATTTGCTCCCAAGGTCTAGGTATTACCATGCTAATAAGAGAAAACAAAAAGGACTAACACCGTTGATTGTGGGTATAGATTAATCAGATATATATCAGACTGCTGCCAAATGTATAAGAATACAGTTGAACTTTTAGAAATAACTTGCGAGTTGTATAACAATATAAATCCTACTTTCAATTAGACTATGATTGAGCTAAATTACGCAAATTCTGCTAGTTTCTACTAAGAAGCAGAATGTTTTCCTCAAAATTGTACGTATGAAGAATTACATCCTAGTTCAGTGAGCAATTGACTAGAGTATACCATTACAAACAAACTAACCTCTTCTGGCATGAGTGGACATGAACCATTTATCTTCCTGGACACTGAATCAACTGATAATTGTTCCTTTACAGTTCCTCGTTTGATCATCTGATTCCTTCTATATTGAATAAGTTCTGTATGAATATCCTAGAGAAGAAGAAACTAACAGCCAGTCAAACAATAACTGCTAGGAAGATATTAGAAGGATATCCATCTGCTTACATTAGAAATTTAATCCAAATTACACAAACCTGGAACAGTTCAGCACAACCATGAAAAGCTAGAGTATCTCTTAGCAGTCCTGGGTGATATGCTAGATAAGGACGACCAGATACACGTAATCTGTACAAATTTACCGGTGTTATGCGAACAGCAAATCACATCAGCTTGTTGAATTTCAAATCTTATAGTTGCCGCGGTTTCAAATCCAAAATTTTCCATCTTTCATAGTTTCACAATAGACTATGCATCCAGAGGTGACCCAAATCAAAATTTTCCAGTACCAAGGAAATGCTTCAAAATTCTTAAGGAACATCTTTTTTCTTTGAAATTTGTGAAAGCCAACTACTGGCTCAAGATTTAAGAAGGCAGGGAAAGATCACCAGCAATATTGCATATTGAGTTCAGGGGAAAGAATGACCGAATCACCTGCTAACTATTTGGTTCCCGAGAGCACGAATTTCTGGACGGAACTTCAAAGCATGGAAGGCTACCCTGCATCTAAGCCTCTGAAATTCCTCCAAGGTTGCTGGAAGGATTGACTGCAGATGTAAAAGTTCTAAGTCCACAATTAGCCGCAGAAAGAAACAAAATAGTGTTAGTGCGGCCTGGAAGATACCTGGAGACATTTGCCTCCATTAATGATTATCCCAATAACTTTTGACTTGGAAAGTTTTGGCAGGACTTCTGTCACGTAATATTCTGGAGTAGCCGAGTTTTTAGGTGATACTGTGGGAAATTTTATCTTTTTTCTAGCCTCCCTGAGATCCTTTGGCAAACCACGCACAATAGCTACATCACTGGAAAGTGCGGAAATGAACTGATCTTCATCATATAGATATGAAAAGCTCTTGAATTTTGAACTGCAAGATCAAAACAAGAGAAAAAAAAAAGAAAAACTATAGTTAGAGGTCAAGCCTAAAAGGGACAAAGAAATAAATGTATCACAAAAACAAATAACAAAGGAGACAGGGACCTGATGCCTTTTGCACGTGTCGTTGCTTGAATCTCAGGAATAACTAGGGTGGCATTTAAGAGCCTGGCAACGGCGACAAGATCACAGATCTAACAAAAGGAAATATGTCATGGACCTACAGGCTAAAGAACACATGAATGTGAACTTTACACAAGGAAACTTACTGAAGATTGTATCTTCTCAAAGCCACCATAGATCTTTGCATAAATAAAACCATTATGATAATCCAGAGCTGCAAGGCAAGTCAAAAAATTTTTTGATCAAGGTTTGAGTTCCAGGTTTTACAAGTATGCAGTGACATTGAAAACAGATCAGTCAGCATATTTATCCACAACCATATGCAGGAAAAGGAAAATCATGGAATTAATGTCTAAGGTCCAACCACACAGCACTGGAACACTCGGGATCGATCATTATAAATGAGCCGCAAAAACAAAACAATAGAATGTAAAATAAAAGTTTGGTCACTCATTCAGAATCAGAATAAAGGTAGGCTGCTCAAATTAAGCTATTGAACTAACTGAATAAATAGATTTGGAAACATAAGATGAAAAAAAATATGCAAGCATGGTAAGCAAAGGATGGATGCAAAATTACCAGGGTAGATTTTTCTAGGTTTCGCATAAGGGTGTAAATGATCAAGTGTACTCAACGAACCCCACAATCTCCGGGGTCGAGGCCTCTGCGTAAATCATGAAGCAA